TGGGCCTTTATCATAGATCGTGGTTATGTTAACGCTGTTGTCTTTTTAGATCTAAAAAAGGCATTTGACACAGTCAGTCACTCTATTCTATTATCCAAACTATATTCATATGGAGTCAAAGAAATTGCCTACGAATTGCTTTCTTCTTACTTAGAAAATCGTAAGCAAAAATGTGCTGTCAATGGTGTCCTTTCTAAAAGCTGCACTTTAACTTTTGGGATGCCCCAGGGGACAATACTGGGGCTTTTGCTGTTTCTCTTATACATTAATGACTTACCTAATTGTTTTTCAAATTCGCAACCAAGAATGGATGCGGATGATACTCACCTAACATATGCTGACAATGACATCTGCTCCCTTGAGGCTTCTTTAAATCAGGACTTGTTAAATATGAACAATTGGCTCATTGCCAATAAATTGACTCTCAATATGAAAAAAACTGAATTTATGTTAATCGGATCAAGACAAAAATTGAATAGTCTATCCGTTCTCCCAGACTTAAAAATTAATGGTGCACAATTAAACAGGGTCGATTTTTATCAAGTCTCTTGGTGTATTAAGTGATGAAAATCTAACATGGAGTAATCATGTCAACGCTATATCTAAAAAAATCTCTTCTGATATTGGATCTATTAAACGAATAAGTCACTGTGTTCCTCCTGCAACTCTACATAATATCTATCATGGGTTAGTTCAATCGCACTTCGACTATTATAGTGTTGTTTGGGGTAACTGTGCCAAAACATTATCTGACAAATTACAGAGACTTCAAAATCGTGCTGCAGTCCTCGTCCTTAGCCATTCTAACTAACTATTTAAAGAATTAGGCTGGGACAATTTAGAAACTCGACGTCAAAAATTAAAGGCTGAGATGGTCTATAAGTCCTTAAACGGCCTTGCACCGAATTATTTGTCCTCGAAATTCATTCAGGGGAGTGATGTGATTACTTCTTACAATTTGCGCGATTCTGATAATAAGCTTGCAATACCATTACCACGTACTAACCATTACAAAAATAGCTTTGCCTATAGTGGTGCAGTCCTCTGGAACAGTCTTCCCTCAGCTGCTAGGCAAGCAAGATCTCTGACTAATTTCCGACGATTCTTAATTAATTCCGACACGGCATTCATGTAAAACAGGCTTTAATTTATTTAGTAATAGTTAGCAATATTTTGAATTATAGAAGATTAAGAAGATTAAGTTGTAGCTTGATATTAAATTGTTAATGCCTGATGTATTTACCGTGTTTTTAAATAAAGATGATGATGATGATGATGACCTTCACCACACTGTCACCAGGGAACATCAAACGTGTGTGCAATTTCCCCCCCCCCCCCCCCCACCACCCCCCCCCCCCCCCCCCCCACACCCCCCCCACACAACTGTAGAGACAAACCAACAAAAACAAAAACATGTAAAATGTATATTTAATCTTATAAACATCAAAAAAAATTTCTCAATCAGAACAACACAATTTTTAATTAATAAGGATTAGAAGACTTAGTTTTGTCTTTAATTTAAAATTTGTAATGCATAATTTTTTTACCCTTTTTTAAAAAAAGAATAATAATAAAGATGATGCCCTCCCCCCCCCCCCCCCCGGGAAACCCCAACCCTTTTTACAACCCCCCCCCCCCCCACCACCGTTCCCCCCCCCCAAAAAAAACTAGTAAATGGGTTGTAAAAATAACAAATGATAAATAATGTCTTGCATATTGTTAATATAGCTTTCACAAATTTAAAAAATTTTCCACACATGCGCAGGGCAATGGAACTTACCCAGTCTCTTGCGCCCTGAGACCGAGTTACCATATAGTGTCCAGTAGAATAGGTAATCAATTTCTGATTACTGGACTTGGGAAACACGGACTCCGAGAGTGAAATTGTAAAAGGCTCTTTTAGACCGTAGCTACTTTTGCAATGTTTGTGTGTTTAGGAGGCCTTGGTTTGATCTTTTGCTTCCTCATGTAATCAAGAAATTGATCTGGCAGTTCTTCCAGCACATCTTTTGCCAATCGAGCTCCGTTTATGACATTCCCAGCTTGTCCAATGTAATCTCGGAAGGGCACAAACTGTGATTTATAAGGAAACAAAATGAAATGACTGTAACTTGCCATCACGTTCTAGTTGGTTGGGTTTGCAGCTCGCTGGATACTGCGACTGGATTTAGCAGGGTATTGTGAACTCGAAATGGTACCTGATGGTAGCAAAGGGAATATTTTAACAGGGGCACCTAACGAGAATATAGTTTAAACCACTTAAACATAGCATTGTTAAACGCATTTTAGTATTTAACGGTAGATACAGGCATATTTTTATCCCTTAAAGATTTTTCATCTGTTCGGATTTCGTAGCTGAGAGTCTAGTGATCCGAAAATTATAGGGATCAAAACTTACCTTTTCGAAAATTTCAGCCAGAAAAAAGGCTCCCGAAAATTCTAGGTGACATTTTTAGGGTAAAAATCCGTTAAAAATGGGCAATTATACCGATATGTAGATGTTTGAAAGTACTAGGAGAGGCAGGCAAGCAAGAAATTTTACCTGAAAATGTTCCGAAAATTCTAGATCTCAAATCGTCTTCCGAACAGATATTTTCAAAACATTGTCGTTGGGTGCCCCTGTTAATAATTCAACCAGCATAATACTGACACCTTTGAATGCGGACAACGGGCCCTTGTTTCCTGCCCAATCAACAGATTCTCATAGAAGGTCAATCTCACTAACGCTGACACTTCATTGCCCACTGTGTGCTGTAAAATACATTTCCGTTTTTAAACAGTTGACAGCATGTCAATATTCCCGGCGGTATAGCACACCGCGGGATAGGATGAATTGCAGACGTTAATTTCAGACTATTTTGGCATCAAACGAGTTACGCAGAGAACCGTTTTGCTTAAATACTGATAATGAGCGAGAGTTTCTATGGACATGGTGATTTGAATGACTTAAGTCAGTAACATGACCCTCTTAATACGGACATGCCCCCCTCAGTGTCCGTATCCCCCCGGGGGGGGGGGTACTCCCTTATTTTGCCTATACGGGGATGTGCCGCTGGTCCGAGTATGGTGATATGGTTTTCGTCCTCTCTATCCTAAACAGGGTACATAATTTTGCAAGAGTTTGTTCTGAAGAGTGAACATGTCCTTTGTCCTAAACAGGGTAAAAAATTTGAGGGTTTTTTCCCGAATAGGAAATGTATTTTAGGTTTCTTTTTGTCCTAAACGGAGTCAGGGTTTCAATCCCTCAGCGGTTCACCTATACTAATATATAATAGATAATCAAATGATGCCTTTTTAATAAAGCATGCACTCAGTAGAAAAGTATCTCACCTGTACAATGTCTCTTTCCGCGTATCTTCCACGCGATGACAGACGAACTGTATCTCCATCAAGCTCCTCCATAGCTGTGTTTACATGGAAAGAGACAAAAACAATGCCATGAAACCTTTTCAAATCTGAAAGAGGCCTAAAACTCCTAAATGTTTACTGTCTAAAGTATTGATTAAGTGAGAAACGCCGGGAAGGTATTTATTCGCTATTTACACATCTCCCAAATGCCGGTTTGCTCCCCAAAATTTTACATAACCTTTGTCTTTAATTTCTCCTGGATATAACAGTCGTCCCATCAAAAATTGAAGACGATGCTTAAGCAGAATTTGGGTGGGGGGGGGGAGGGGAAACAAGGTTGATTATGAGAGATCTGCAAAGGCGAATACAAACAAAGAACTTATGGCCAGGGTAACACTTTTTACGGATTTACCATTTTCACATAAACCATGATGCACTCTGTTAACCCCCCCCCCCCCCACAAAATTTTCCATAACCGTTGTCTTTGGATTTCTATTGGGTGGGACGACTGTTATACCCAGGAGAAATTGGAAACAATGGTAATGCAAAATTTTGGGAAGTAAACAGAGTGCATTATGATCTATGTGAAAGTAGAGAATGCAGTGGTAGAGACAGAAGCGGAGATGTAGAAACTTTCCGTTCTAGTGTAGATCGTGTAAGGAAGAGGAAGGAAGGAAGGAGGAGGAAGCAAAGACGTCTCCGTTCCTGCTTCAGCCGAGCTGCCATCTTTCACTCCCCAAACGGCAACCTCGTTCCCAGGGTTTTCTCCTACTCGGCTTCCGGAGCGGGGCCAAGTAGAAGAGAACCCTTGGAACGAGGTTGAACCAACCTTAGCAGAACTTTAGCCCATCGCAAAGCTCTTTTCCAGTTCCATCTTGAAACTGAGAACAAAGCAGGACAACATGCAAGCGAGTCTTCGAGACTTTGATGATGCAAACAACGGTTTCGCCTCTGTTTCATGGTTCTTTTTTCATCAGAACATAACGCACTCCCTGAGATACCAATTTACCAGCTTTGAGATCGTCGCTAGTGTATTGAAACCAAGCTTAAAATCGTTGCAGTTTGGCAACTGTGTGAACACATGTAAATTCCATATCTATAACTGATTGAGTACCTACCTTCAAACTCTGCTGGTCCAACACCAACAATAATAATAGAAACGGGAAGAGAAGCTGCCTACAATAAATATATAAATTGAGGTATTTAAGCACTATACTTGCACGCCTGCAATACGTTACTTCCACATTTCCCATAATGCACCTTATTTGCCCCCCAAAATTTTGCATAAGCATTGTTTTCTATTTCTCTTGGGACGGCCAGGAGAAATGAAAAACAAAGGTTATGCAAAATTTGGGGGGAGGGGGAGGGGGGCAAATAAGGTGCACTATGGGAAATGTGAGAGTGGCGAATGGAGCAATTCATGTGTTAAGAATTTCGAACTTGTTAGGGTTCAGTGATTTTCCGCTACAAATGTTAATTAAAAGCGCATTTTTACCAGGAATCCTGTTCAATAGACCTATTCGGCTAACTCAATGTTGTACCCAATTCCTTAATTCAAGCCCTTTGGGAATAAAACGCTTCGTTTCAGGAATTTCCATATCACATGTGAATGCCACATTATAATGCAAACACAATACACAAAGAATCTTAACTCCGGGACATTTGAATTGGGTACAACAGTGAGTTAGCCAAATAGATCTATTGGCAGAATTGCCTTTCAACCATTAAACATAGCTTAGACGCAAGGCGAAAATGCTTTAAAAATGTGCGTTTACAAAAGAAAGCGAGTTAGAGGGCATGGGCCTCCATGATAATGATGCGAACAAAAAACTTGGCCAGGGCACCGAAAGAAATTAAAGAAGCTTATGAGAGATAAGGCCTTCTCGAACTACGGACTATCAGGGTGTATTACATCAGTTCAAGCAAAAGATGGAGTAGACTCTAAGGTGGAGACATTCATTAGCGCGAAAACAAGAGATTTGAGCATAAATCAGATTCAATAGCGTTTTTTTACATTTTAATCAACGTACAATAACACTTTTGGGCATTCATATGCGTCATTCAGCATACAAAAGAGAAAAATATACTTTCAATTGCGCTAGTATGCAAGTCATGAACACCACCTTAAATATCAATTTCAGTTTTATTTGAATTGGGACATTACAGTATATACATCTTTCGCGCGCTATTACACGCGCGCGCGTGCTCCTATCATTTTTATGTCTATGGTGCTGTGCAGTACCCGTGTTAGTGTCAACCCTAACCCTAACCCTAAAACAGCATTCTTTAAAAAAAAAAAGAAAGAACTCGACCCCACCCACGGCTTGCCCTGGCGCCGACCCCGACCCCACGTTTTACTGACACCATAGTACACCTCTATCGTCAAAATACCAGTCACTCACGTTAACAATAGCTTCTTTTGTTTGCGGCATGTCCGAAATTATTCCATCTGTTATCATCAGAAGCACAAAATATCTAGATGGAAACACAAATTTTTAGAAACATAAACAGTCAGTAGTAGTATGAAATATTTTGGTGAAGAGAAACTCTAGAACAATCAGGCCCCAGTTGTTCAAAAGGTGGATAACGATATCCACCGAAAAAAATCACTATCCAGTGGATAGCGCAATTGGTTTCCCTAACACCTATCCCTTGTACAGTGATTTATCCGGTGGATAGCGCTATCCAACTTTGGGGCCTCATCTTTCAATAACTAATAAGACTGTCAGCTCCCTTTGAAAACCATAGTTAATTGAGTGGAATGGTTAAGAAACCCGTCAGACTCCTTTGTTATATGTTTTTGTGGACCTGAAAGTGCACAACGTTCAAAAGAATTCCTATCATTTTGATTGTATTGACCAATAAAAACGTTGCATTAATTTATTCCGTAACAATTTGCCAACAGAAAACAAAGGATTGTGCACTTTCACGGTACTTCCAACATAAACTGCAGCACTGTTGTTCTTATCATTGATGTTTGCCGCTTTTCATAACCAGTCTCCTCTAATAACTATGTGAAAACTAATAGTTAAAAAGCAATGCTGATTGCTTGCTTGAGCTATGAAGTATATTTTCTTTCTTAGAACTGATAATATAATGTTAAAGCTGTGCAATCAGATTACCCTAACTGCCTGCTTACAGAAAATTTTGCTGACTGGGTCAATCAGGATCCGGCTTCTTTGTTTTGTTCGTTGGAACTTGCTATTTTATTAACAAGATATCCCTTTTGAAAACCTTATATATTCGACAAGACCCATTAACATTAGGAGTTGGCCACTTGATATTCGATGGGAGCGGAGGGCGGGGTATTGGGTCATTTTGTTTGGGCAAGGATTTTTTTCCGAGAAGAAAATTCAGCGAGATAAGATTTTCACAATACCAGACCGCGCGGTTTTCCCTGAGGTATGGCCACTACCGTACCTTACGCATGCAAACAGCCCGACAGTAGCAGCCATTCATAACTATTTCTCCCTTAGTGGTTGGGCAATAGCCAAACTTTTTTCGGATTTAGACAATCCCTGAGATTGTTTAGCTTTTCGCGCTAGCCGGAACAAAAATCTAAAATAAGATTGACCAATACAGTGGCTTTCTGCTGCTCTGATCTTCTTCTCAATTTCAACGCATTGTTTTTTTTTATTTCTTTCCGCTATATTAAGCGTCATCTCGAGGAGAAATGGAAGGAAAAAATAGCTCTTTAACTAGTGGTGGTTCATACTGGAACTCGTAAACTTAAAATTGTCTGGAAGTTGATTCAAGAAAATTACGAATTCTCAAGTGCTGAGAGGTGCTCCCTAAACACACACACAATTTTATGGACATTTTACGGTGAGAAAATCCAAGCGTTTTTTCCACTTCTTTACGGATTTAGAATTTCAGTGGAATACATAAAGTGTATATTACATAAAGCAGGGGCCCAAGATCGACCCTTGGGGAACCCCACATGTTTACGGTATGCGTAGTCGACTTACTGCCCTCGAGTTCGATATAGTACCTAGGAAATTTTAAGTAGGACTTGAACCAAGGGAGGGCCGTACCATTAGGACCAAATCGGTCTGATAATCTAGATAACAGAATAGAATACATGATGTACTGTATCGAAAGCCGCAGAAAGATATAATAAAAGGATCCCTAAATGGTTACTGTCAATGGCACAAAGAATGTCATTCTGCACTCTTACAAGAGCAGTCTCATTAGAATGGCAGAGCTAGTACGCTGACTGGAACCATTATATTCATCTAGGCGGTGAGTAGCAAAGTAGAGACTATTTATTCCTACGTGACCTATGCCAGTAGAGTATAGTTAACAGTCCATGTTAGTGTCAAGTCTCTTGGCTGTCCTTCTTGCTGAATTTTGGTCTTATGGTTTTCAAGGTTTCCCAATACTATTTCTATGACGGAACTTTTTCCCTAAGTTTTTCTTGTAAACATAATAGAAGAATATTACTACTTATAACTTCACGCAAAAATCACGCTCTCTTCCTTCAAATGGTCGACCCCGTTACTATAAGCCACAAACAAAATCAACATGGCGTTTCAGTGGGAAACCAACTGGATTTTTTCAGTTAAGCCTGAACGCAAATGGAACGCTACGTTTCGCGGTCATTGTGAACGGACAATGTGCGGTTCCTTATTTCCTTGGTTTGTTCTCAGAGGTTTGGCAAAAATAATGACCTTCTGTTCCACTTGAGCAACCACAATAATAAATCATGATAATATTTGCTTATTTAGTTGTGGTACATACTCCTGTCCCGGCTTTTCTCTGTGAGATGAACTTGCAATTCTATTGCATAAAGAACAAATAGTAACATATATATCAGAGCCTCATCCTTGACATGCTTGCCTTTTTAAGAAAACTCCTAAAGAAGTACTAACAAAAATGAAGAAAAATCTTTTAACAGACACGAGAAAATAGAATGATCGACTAAGGGGAAAATCAGCGCGGGGCACAAGGCAGTTAGGTTGAGTATAGGCCCAGATAAAGTCATCTTCGCCTTGACTGGGCCCTGACTTCAAACGTATGCTAACTCAAATGCTCTCACCGTTAGAAAAAAAGGAGTGAAAATTGGGTCAAACTTGAGCTGACACAAATCATTTATCCACTCAAAAACAGATTACACCCTTGTAAATTGCATCGAATCGACTACCCACCTTGCGACTTGATTAATTATCGGTGCGAAGTTAGTAGGACCTGCAACAGCAACACATAGAGCCGAAAGTTTCAAAAGAAGCGATTCCCCCGAAATAAATAAACTAACAAATAATAATAATAAGAAATAATAATAATATCTTGAAATGAAATATTGCATGGAACGTTTACAACGAATAGCCTTGATGGGGTCAGGTAGGATTCTGCGAAAAGTGTTAGACACTTAAATATGTTAAGGACGGAATAATGGCACGGAGTATTGGCTACGCCACAGGCTGTGACCTGATGCTCAGTTAGTAAATAACAGTTCCTGCATTATGTAGTGATAGGCTTGTAATAATGAAAATGATAATAATAATAATAATAATAATAATAATAATAATAATAATAATGACGTCAAAACTTCGAGGCTGGTGATAATTTTAAATTCCCACCCAGATCTCTAAGGGAAACGGCAAAGGGAGAAGGACAGACTGAGACAGACAGGCTTGGTTAAAACACATTTCAATCAAAATCTTAAAGGGTAGGATAATATGCAAGCCGAAAGTAACGGAAATAACACAAAAAAATTTCAGTCACGTTAAATTTACAGTCGAGTAATATCTTTTTGAAATATAGCAATTTGCATACAATATTCAAAAACTAATTTATGACGAACCAAACTTGACGTGGTGGGAGAACGACCCGCTACAAAGTAAATCAAAACCAGCTGAACAGACTTAAAAGAGTAGAAAAATTGCATCGCCTTAAATCACAGTCCATGTTTCCTGAGGCTTCCCAAACGGAATAGCGCGAACCATTTGATTTTCCAATCGGAATTTCCGGTTTTCCCACGTAAATAGTAATTCCCCTAGAGTTATCCTTAACCAGCTTGCTGGGGTAACCCTATCACCAGGGTAACCCCCCCTCCCCTTGTACACAGGCCCTAAGAGTCCTTTTAAGTCTGAAATATTACCATGAAGTTGAACCCTCTCTATGCTGTGATAATACGCTGCGAGTACACCGTGAATGCCATTACAATTTGGATCCTGCGGATTGCCATTCTGAAAACAATCAGCGATTAATAGAATAAGAGCCTGTTTGCTACAAATAGGCAAAACAGAAAGCAGACTGCAAAACAGTCCGTATTTTTGCGTATTCAAGTACGCGCGAGCAGTCAAACAAAAGGTCTGGAACGAGGCCGAAAACGGAGAGTGAGACTGGGGAGAGACGGCCACACAGCTCGCCGTTTCGCGCGCGTAAGACTCACGCCACACACTGATTTCTTTAATGATTTTTAAGGAAAAAAAACCCGACTATTTTGCAGTCTAAACAGCAAGAGGGTTTAGTTTTTTTCACTATCTGGCGATGATTTAAGCCTTTGGCCATCGACAGTCGTCACGATTGGCCAAACAAAGTTTGAAAACGGCGCCATAATAGATGAAGAACTGGCGTTTTCCATAGCGTTTACAGAATAACCAAGCAATTAATTTTAAAGGAGAATTTACTGTTATCACTGACCAGAGGAAATTCATGAGAGATCTTCCAGTCTGGAGGAACACGCGCGCCAAATCCAAAGGCGGGAAACATTTTATCACTACAAAAGAGAATCGATATAAAAAAAAAATTAAAGTTTTGGCGTAATATTCCGCCTCACTGAAAATGGCGGAAAAGAACGACTTGGCAGTGTAATAAAAAGGGTACTTTTAATGACAATGACACTAGATGGGGCACTGGAATTATTTTTGTGATGTCTGGAAAAGGACGTAGCACTCTACTCCCAGTTACAACACTCGTAATTCAGTCCTGCTTTCTTCCACCCTTACATTTAATTTTCGCGCCACGTTATCCTCGCGTAGCTTTTCGCGATTTCAAAAAAAGGGGGAATTTCGCAAAATTAAAGTGTCGCGAAGATTTCATGAAAACTAATATGACACTCACGTATCATAGTCCTGGCAAATTTCCCCAACAGCTGTGAGCGCCTTCACGTATTGATTCTGATTCTGAATCTGTTTTTGATTCTGTTTCTGTTCATGAAGGTTTATGTAATGAAGAGAAGTGGAATCTTTCGGATTACCTAAAAAACATACATCATCAATAGGGCCATTTATACGAGGAAAAATAATACGCGTCTTACATAGGACGCGTCTTAAATAAGTCGCGAACTTTCCGTATAAACGACACATTTCGTCTAAAATAAGACGCGGCTTAGCTAAGACGCGTTTTATTTTAGAACAGCCCTTAACACCTGTTCTTAGATAAGACGCGTCTTAGCTAAGACAAGAAAAACTTCGTATAAATGACCTTCGCGTCTTACGTAAGACGCAAATACATAGTACGCATGCGTTAATTTTTGGTGCGCTACGTTGGATTGCCGTTGCTATAGGCAACATTCACATGAAAACGAGTCAAGAACAGAAATAAGACGCGAACCATTTATACGAGCTGTTCTCGTCTTAGATAAGACGTATAAATGGTACAGTTCGCGTCTTATGTAAGACGCGTCTTATTTTTCCTCGTATAAATGGCCCTAATATATCAAGCTTACATCTTAAAATGTACCTCACCAAAGTAACTATTTAACAGAGGTGAAGACCGCCTGAAGAAAAATAACTCGTTGGGAACTCGGAAAAGGCTAACACATGCGGCAAATTTATAAGTGAACCATTGATACCCTTTCACTTCTATCAGAGGCTAAAGGGCAAATTCACAAATCAAATAATCAATCTTTTGTGTGTGAAAATCCTAAGAAATAAATAGTGCCACGTAAAAGTTCCACCAAAGACGTTTCATTTGAAACGGATACCCCATGGGCATCCTTCGTTTTAGCAATGAAAGGGATGTTACTAAAATGAGGCACGCTGGGCGCAGGGAATAAGCACGGAGAACGGGAGAACGGAACAAAGAAAACGGGAGCAAATTTAACAAAGAATTGGAAATGAATTTTCTGATAGGGCTAAGGTTCAAGTTAGCTTTCGTTCCCATTTTTCTTTTTCCCAATCCCCTGGCTCTTTCCTCGCTCCCCGTTCCCTGTTTTAGTAAAATCCCAATGAAAGGGTTTTTAAAATACAATTATAGTAATAAAGGGTAACGATTTCAGTGACTTTGAACTTAATAAAGGTTTGATCAACTGCAGATTCGAAAGATCCTTATCAAAGACAAGAACAAACAATAATGCTATCTTACCATTCGAAGAAGTGAAATCAATGGCCACTGTAAAGTTTATCTGAGTCCTTTGGAACATGAAAGAAAACGAGACTTAGATTTTAATATGCTCCACCCCTTGTTTCTAGTCTCCAACACAGCGGAGACAGAACGGTTCCGCTGCGTTTGAGATTTGTGTGTTTCCTTGCCTTGAAATATAAAGGAATAAATTGAAACAAGACCTTATACTGCATCTCTTTCCAAAAGTACTTTTAAGGAATTCTATGATGTTAGTTTCCAGAAATTTTTTTATATCTCCTTCTTGTCGTACACCTCTCCAGAAATCACTACATAATTGTTCGTAAAATATCATCCCTAAAGAAGCTTTCCCAAGTGTTTCCATCCTCAAACTCCAATTAGGTCAAGCAACTCTAACCATGCTTCAAAAGCTTGTATAATAAAAAGGCGCATTGTTCTAGATGAAGCTTATTAGGTCTGTGGAAACTGAAGCACTCTCTACACAAAACAAATGTAGCTACCCTCCTCTAATGAAATCCAAGAACGAGGGTCGCTCTTCTATTTTACACTGCAGCAATTTGACCTGGAAAAAAAATGAAAAATCAGGCACCTTGATTAGTTAGAAATTCTAATAGTGTTGAGTGTACTAAAAAAATATAAAACAATCGTTTATTGTGGCTAAGTATGTTATGACGAATTACGCGTATCGAGGAGTGTGCTATACACGAGAACGTCGACGCTCCGGACGTTCTTATTTAACCAGAAGTTAATTTTTTTTGTTCTCGCTCAGTGATCTAAATCGAAAACGTCAGTCTACGAGAGAGCTTACAAACTACTTTCGTCAGAAGGAAGCTTGCCAACAAGCATAAAACACCACCGGTTGCAATTCATACTGTCGGGGGCGTAAGCATTTGCGTTGTTTGAGATTTTTTTTTTTTGTAGGGGGCCGCGGGGGCTTGTCTGATTTGTGGTGCCAAGGTAGGCCATTCTTTTAGTCCGCTCGGGTAGCCAATCAGCTCACAGGATTTGCTTCATCTTGCCAGCTCGCGGATTTGGCCATATAATAAGGTATAGTTTATAGTTCATATGGCATTAATGTAGTAATACTGAAGGTAACCCAGTAGAGCCTTTAACCCCGGGACTTATTTTAAGGGGTTCCTCTGCAATTTGAACCTGGGAGTCGAGGAGGGTGTGTGGGGGGGTATTTATAAGCGTCATTGCTCACCGTGCCCGAGTTTTTGTATGATCCTTTCTTTTTTTCTTTTTTCTTGGGACTGATGACCTACAAATGTCAAAGAAGAAAAAAAGTCATGTATAGTTATAGTTCTGGGCCCAATTGTTCGAAGGCCGATTAGCTCTAACCTTACTAGAGTTAAATGTTAACGCGGGCTTCTTTTTCTTTTGTTCAAAAGCATTTTCCCGGATAATTTTCTCTTCTCTTTTTACAGCATCAAATTGTAGGCAAAAAGAATAAAACTGAATTTCCTTCTCAGCTTTCATATCTGAAATCAAATTTCGCACTAACCCTGCTTTGAACAACCCGGCCCTGATTAATAATTTATGAAAGAGAAAACAAAACTGAATCCAGAAAAAGGACATCCATGACCGTGGTTTAGATATCGGTTGTCAATGACCATAAAATGTGTGAATTTTAGCTTTGAATTTCTTCAAGAACTATTGTTGAATGGTCAAAAACTCCAGTCAGTATTTCATCCGATTTCCAGACTACTCGATTGAGATAGGTCTTGATTTAGTTTTTACAAAAATCATGAATATTCAGAATTCAGAATATTTGACTTAAAACCATAGTGTCAGTGACTCTTTCCAAATATAAAACAGATAGCGGACTCCAAAATCGCACATTTGGTCTTTTCGTTATTTTACGCCACTCTGCAACATCACTAGACATCTTTTTCGATCTCTTTTGGTCGGAAACAATAGAAAACATTCTAAATTTTGTTCACAAAATAATTCGTGTTGTCGAAGATTTTAGCTCACTGAAAACATCACCAATAGACCGTCATTTTGTTTAGGACAATAATAGAAAAAAAATTCAACTTTCAAGAAAAATCCTGGGTTAACTCTTTTGCAAATATCTCCGACGGTCGCACCTCTGAGCAAAAAAGGACCAGAAAATAAATAGAAAAGAAAGGAGAGAAACCCTTCCTAAACGCGTCCAAAGGTTTATTTTATTACAGATTCAGATTCACTCCACTACATTACAAGCAAATAATGAAATGAATCAAGCTAACACTACTATAAGAAAAAAAAAAAAAAACGTTGTGGAGAAGGAGGCAACCAAAAGCGCCAATGCGCCATACTAGGGATGCCCCCACTAATTAAAATATAAGAAAAATATATACAAATAGAAATATAAATGTTCTAGTTATCCTTAATAAAGCCTAAAACATTTCTTTTAAAAGTTGCAATACTGTTTGATTATCTAATATGATTGGGTAAACCATTCCATTCATCTACAACTCGGTTAAAAAAAAAACTACATTTAAAACCATCAGTTCTGCTAAAATTTGGAACAAGGTCCTGTGTGTCATTTTTCCTCAAGTTATGACCTGTTTTTCTGTCCTTACAAAATATGAGCTTATTTATTTGTAAGAATCTTGCCTCATATGTTATTCCAGGAGTTGATTTAAGTTCGTTTATGGTGGTTGAAAAGACACCAATCAGATCATGCCTGCAAAAAGAAGTAGACAGCTGAGATATAACAAAAAGAAACGTATAAAATGGCAGGGTAAAAGTACGGTGAAACCTGCGATCGACTGACAAATATATATATATATTTTTTTGACAAAAAAATGTGGAAAGAAACATATAAGGCTTTTTAAGGTTGAGATTCGTTTCATACAAGGTTTCCTCTTTCACTCCCGGGTAGTAGGGGTTGGGGGGGGGGGGGTTGGGGTGAATGATAGAAACTTTAGGGTGGGGATGTACCGCTGGGATCCTGGAACCCTTAGCCTATACTAGACCTAGTTCAGCTAAATTGTGCTACCCTATAGTAGACTAAACTGCTAAATTCCTTCCTTTCCATGTATCGACGCTTTTTTTTGGTATTCAACTGGCTACAAAACTTGTGAGTTTCTCACCCTCCATCTCTATCCCAGTCATAACATTCCACCCTCATTGACCTGTAGAATTAGAAAAAAACCATGCGAAGTATCAAATTTAATGGCAGCCTGTGTAAAATTTAGATACAAAGGAGACTTTGGTGGTTACTGGCTATGAGTGTCAGAGAGATTTTGTTTCGAGAATTTCTGGTGATAATAATCCAAAATAATCAGAGTCGATCAAGATCATAAGATTTTCAACATTAAACTATAAGTTGATGCTTTATCCTGTTTCTTTATTTTTGCTTACTGAAGATATTAAAGTTATAAATCATCGGATGAACGAGTAGAAAGAAAGAAAGACTTAAAATAATTAAGTCTGACCAAATTTATGCAGCTTTTGAGTATAATGAGTAAAATAATTACGTCCCACCAAATAATTAAGTCCGACCAAATTTATGCAGCTTTTGAGTATACTGACAGTGTACTGAGTACCTATCATAGTCCCCATTACAGAGTGCCCTGGCTTCAATTGTAAATGGCTTCCACGTTGGGTTTAGTGTGTTCTTGATTACTTCCGTGCGGTGACATAAACTGAAGCTAGAAAAGAAAAAAAAAATACATTAGTATTTACCAAATCAGTGAATAGTAATTTTCGCGCGTTTTGATTGGCTCCAGTAACTCGGAATATCCTTGCTTATTAACATTTTGGGAAGACGAAATTTGAGCGACGAATGAAGATGTCGTACAAACCAATACCAAGAAAGCGACGAACGTTGGCTTGTCGGTGTTTACTGGTAAGTAGAAGGTTATTTTCATGCTGAATTTGCGACAAAATTCCCGAAATGTTTGTAAATTGTAAACAAAGCTCCAACTAAGTGATGTTTTTAATTTACAAATAGTTACTTTTTTCATTTTTATCCGACTGATTTGGTAAATATTAAAACAACTATCCCCCTCAGGGTCGGTGAGCAGCGCTAGATATATACCTCGACGCTTCGCCTCCCCATATACACTATTCACCTCCCCTTCGGGGGATAGTTGTATATTAATTCTAAATGTGTTTTTCAATTGTTCCAGGAGTTTCTAAGTTGTTCTCCCGTTGACTTGAGCAAATGTACTGATAACGTCGCTTATCAAACTGGGATAAAATAATTGTGCAATTAATAAACATCTTATTTATCTTTGGGACTACTTCATTCTCGTTTAGAGTCAAGCCCTCTTGACAAACGTCCGGCTACATAATGAAATCACTCATAGTTTATTCCAAGAGTTGATGTGCAAATTATGATCAGTGCCTGTAGCTAGACTCACCTGTTGTCTTCATTACACCTGTAAAACTCCAAAAATGGATCTGATTTTCCAAAAAAGTCTTTCTTGTCAAGATTTTTGCCATTAAACTGGAGTGTCAGAACATCCTGAAAAGGATTGTGATAAAGAGTAACCATAAACATGTCTATACACCACCCTACACAAAACGCTAAATATAAGAGTATTTACAGTGTATACATGAACAATTGCTAGCCAAGCAATGCCGAGAAGCTACAACAGAAAATTATAGAGCACTTCCTTAATTTATTATAGTCATTAGTAGATTCTGACATCAGCTGACCTTACAATCACTGATTTCTTCAGCTGAGACTGCAACACATAAAGAAATAAATCAATCACCTCAGAAGCTAATAATGTGTTTTCACTAACTTCAGACCCGGAGGTCATGAGACACAAAATCATACTATTAAAAAATATATCGGCAAAAATATACACGATAATGTTCAATATTTTGATGAGTTCAGGAAACGAACGTACCGATTATTGTTCCAGGTTTCTTTATTTTTGGATTTCTGTGAAAACATAACTATTGATGAGTCTGAATTCAGAACGTGTAAAGGAATGATTTTTCTAAGTTAGTTTTTCCTCATTACACAGACTTACACCAAAGGCTTTTGAAGTCGTCCACCAAATTCTCCAACTATCGATCCCAAATTACATTCCATTGCACCAATATAATCCTAAAAAAGAATGAATCTTTTGCCATGATTTCGTTACTAAAAAGGGGATTTCCCAGTACAATTTAAATTGTCCGGATATATTATAAAAACACTTAGTTAATATTGGCAATTTAATATTCACTTACGTGGTCTGATAACTTGGGCGTGTCTTTATCTATGTCATACCTACAACAATAATTAGTATATTGAAAAACAGAAAAAAACTTCACTTTTATCCCTACAAGCCTGTTTCGTGAGTGCTCACTCTTCAGGGGATTTAAATGACATGATTATTTATAACCGTCCTTCCTATACTATAAGAGTTACATAATTAATGATGCGGTTAATTCGAATGATAGAATGTTTACTTGTTACGTAGCAACGCGTTGTTATATACACTTGATAAATGAAGCGGACAGTGCAAGATGTAAAGTTTATCCTCATGACTAACGCCGCATTCCTAAAAACATCAATCTGTCAGCAAATTTTCTCAAAATCATTTATTGCATCGTCATTACTGAACGCCTCCCAGCTCTTCGTTAACAACACAACAACTACGCAACATCGCCATCACCAGTGAATGGTATCATCAGTTTTTCTTAGATTTGAATTTCCAAATTAGTATAAATTTGCCTCACAAAAAATTACTGTGTAAATTTTCATTTATTTTTACCGCGGCAAGCAAAAAATCCCAGCTCTTTGCGGGTGGAAGAGGCTAATGTGGATGTGCCGCTGGATGGGGTCGCATTTTCACGACTGGATTGACTATAATGAGGTCGCACGGGGTAAGACAGTTCTTCATATTTGCGGTTAGCAAACGTACCAGAATGTTTGTACCGCAGATGAAAAGTAAAGTGTTTTTCATTCAATATAAAAAATGGGTCAATTCATAAAAGTAGAAGGTGACTAATTTGGGATCGCGAAAGTTACATATTTGCCCAAAGGTGACTAAGATGGGTATAATTGGCCACAGAACAGACTATAATGGAGAAGGGGGTCAGAGAGCCCAGCGGCACATACCCAGCAAGAATTAACCCACGTAACACCCCCCCCCCCCCCCCCCCCCCCCCCCCCCCCCCCCCCCCCCCCACCCCACAAACACACTTTAACTAAAATACAAAAAAAAAAAAAAAAAATAACAAGATATATATACAATCAAAACAATAAAATTATCATAAATAAAACTCAATTTCACTCTATAATTAAATATAATTAAAAACAGATAAAAGGGACAAATTGGGGAGCGGAAAATTTAAAATTTTGCCCAAAGGGAATAAAATGGGTTTAATTGGCCCAAGAACAGACAATAAAGGAGAAAGGGGGCAGAGAGCCCCGCCAAAACTACCCAAAAAAAAATAAACCCCCTACCCCCCCCCCCCCCCCCCCCTCCGGGACTCCATGCAATATGGACAACTAGTTTGTATAACTATCTTATACAAAAATATAAATCTAAATGTATGCTGACCAAGGATGATCTCTACAATGACTAACTTACACTTCAAATCGAAGCTTTTGCATTTCTTCAAAGAAATAATGAATTACAAAAGTTGTGACAAAATCAGGATTCAGGTTGTTCATTATGTGTTCTGTTCTGCCAAACTTAAAGAGAAACATAAGATTATCAATATTTACATCTTATCACCTGAACACCAACACAAATTAAGGTGGCTCGATGGGGCTTTTCAGAGTCTATACCTCCCAATTTTGAGCAATAACTACGTCGCCATTAAGAAGGATTTGGAAAAATTACCACCACAGCTTTATTGGATAAATTTGAAAATATGAACATGGTTACAATGACCTCAGTGTTGTCATGGCAACGAAATGACGCCTTTACCTATTTTACTTGCAGCCGTATTTCTCGGCACTGTAACTTTTCTTCCAACATCGCTCACGGGAGTTTTTTCGTCCAATAGCCGCCCCGATGTTCGTGACGCCTTTAAGCGAAATATATGACAGCGTTATCGTAGGATTAAGTTGTCACGGTTAGAAATACAGTAAAAGCTGGACAGTCTTGATGTTCGGCCGTTATTTGTAAAAAAAATCGCAGCGCTTTTGAAACGCAGTTTCTCCTCGTAGTAGCTTCAATCTTTTTAAAAACGTGTGTTAAAGATCGTGAGATAGCCTGCTAGAAAGAAGGATTCGATTAGTATGTATCGAGGAGTGAGAATGCGTCGATTGATTGGCATGTATGTATCGAGACGAGTATGTATCGTGGACAACAATTGCAATAGCTAACATTTCATATTTTTTAAAAGCATTGTTATTGTTATTTACTGCTGTTGACGTGAGAATAAACGTGGAAACAATACTCTGAATAATAAGAGACTATAATTGTATTTTTGTTAACGGTTAACAGAAAAATTTCGACAAAAAATTAACAAATTGTAGCCCTTATTTTACTGCCTTACAAGATATAAATCATCTTAAAACTCAAAGGTCATATAAAACGACGGTTAATCTCAAGAATATCAAATTTTTAGGTGGTTTTCAAATTATTTGCTTATTTGTTTAAGTAGACCAAATTGTTTACAAAACCGCTAACAAGAGCGCTTCGATAGATACTAATCAAATCCTTCTTTCTAGCAATCGGCTAAAGCTATCTACATGATCTTTCACATATTGTGTTTTTAAAAAAATTGAAAATAATATGAGGTGAAATTGCATTTCAAAGGCGCTTGGACTTCTACAGATAACGGCTGAACGTCAAGATTATCCAGTTTTTACTGTATTTCTAACCATAAAAACTTTATCTCAAAATATCTCGATAACGCCCTTCTAGATTTCGCTTAATCTTCACTAACATTGAGGCGGCTATTGGAGTAGCCTGTTCCAGGCTCCGAGATAGTGTTGAAAAGTCGTTCAGTAAAAAGAAATGCGAAAAACGCGCGGGGCCTGGGGAGAGACAGGGCGGCTCTCCCATTTTTCTCGCCGCCACCGCCCCCTTTCCCAAGTCGCGCGCGTCTTATTTTCGCTTTGCTCGTTTTAATACGTCCGCACTATACTATCTGAGAGCCTGGCACAGGCTACTATTGGAGAAAAAAAACTCTCGTGAACTATTTTGGAAGAGGAGTCTCAAACTCAGTAAGATCAACCACCAATCACTGGATGTATACCACATCACCAGGATTCTTTTGGAAAACCAATGAAAAGCACTATTCGAAATTCCATACTTGTGTACACCACTAAAATATGCACGTTGACAACTTGCATTAAATCAATGAATATTCAAGTCAAACCCATTCGTGTTGCTTTCTTCACTTCCGCGTTCACAACACGTCGAAAACCTAAACAAAGCGAGAAAAGAAGTACCATTAAAAACAACAATACACACAAGTAATTTACGCGAACAAAAATTTATCCCCCTAAAAATGTAACTTACCTTCGGTCTGACATATCCAAAGGTTTCAATGCAGCACGTCCGTTTACATCAGAAAGGTGGCGCTTCAGTTCACAAATACTGGGAGTACAACGAACGGGAAGGCTGGGGAAGGATACTGTTCCCCAGCAGAGTTGCTTACTTCTTGTTACATATCTGTAATGGCCGGTGTCCAACGTTTGTACACCTTCTTCAAAGTCTTTTGTGGTAAAATGGCCGCCGGATTCACAGGACCTCACTAATCGATTGTGTTTCCATCCCTCGAACAACGTACACGCCCATTTCGTTTTATAAGCTGTTGATTCCGACAATGCATTATCTACACTTTTCTTATAATCTTCCACAGTTTTCGGCTGCCGAAGCTGTCAACACCAGCAACTTTGACATCTCAGAATGAAGTAAATCACGCCATATATGTAAACTAATGAATTGTTTGCCACGTAACATTCCAACCCCGATTATTTCAATATCAATGACGTTTATTGCCAGCGTAATTGGAAGTATTTGTTTATTATTTGTCTAAGAGTGAGAAGCTATATCAAAAACTCGTGCTTCGTGCTTCATCGGGGTTTCCAGACACCTCAAAACAAAAAAAGCACTCGGGCTTCGGCCTCGTGCTTTCATCTTTTTCGCGGTGTCTGAATATCCCGATGAAGCAACTGGCGCTCATTTTTGATATATTACTTCCCAGTGCCGAGAAATACGGCTACAAGTAAAATAGGTTATGGCGTCACTTCATCGCTATGACAACTCCGATGTCACTGTAACCCTGATCATAACTTTTTTTCATCTTTATCTAATACAGCTGTGAAGATAATTTTTCCAAATTCTTATAGCGCGTTTTCACTCACGTGGTTAACATCTATACAAATTTATTGGAACAAAAGGAAGCGTTTACATAGGAAAAGAGTTCAATTCCCACAGGACTGGTTTGGGACACCAATATGGCCGCCGTTTCATTGTTTTGGGACACCAATATGGCCGCCGTTTTATTGTTTTGCGACACCAATATGGCCGCCGTGACGCCATGTGAAAACACTCTATTAATGGCGACGTGGTTTATGCTCAAACTTGAGAAGTATTGACCCTGAAGAAACCCATCGAGCCACCTTAATGTCGCTTTGGGTCTTGAGGTGCATGACGTACTTTTTTTAGACTTTCATAATAGACTAATTTCGATATATTAAAACTCATACCTATTTCCGAAGCTTGGGGAATAAAATAAAAGAAATGTATTATTCTAATCAATTAAATATCGGATCTTAACCTTGCTTATATGTTCTCAAACTCATTAATAATTCATTAAGAAAATACAAAGGAAATTAATGTTTAATGAGTGTTTGGAAATCGGATGAAACACTGCTTAGTATTTGCATCCTTAATTTCTCCTTCAAAAATGATTTTGTTTGAGAAGAAATATCAAACATTCGACACAGTGTTTCATCACCAGATGAAACACCTCGAAGTTCGTCAAAAATACTCCGCTGCGCGTCGTATTTTCAACTCTCTTCTCGGTGTTTCATCTGGTGATGAAACACTGCATCTCATGTTTGATATAATACTTTTATCACTGATATTATTTGAGATTTTATTTCCTCTCATTGCTGCTGCCGATTATCTGAACATGACGGTGTGCAACAAGAAAGCTCTTGCTACTTTGGACACTGTGCGCAAATGAACTTAATGTCTTTTGGTTAAATGATTATTTATCAGCTACTTTGTTCTCCTACTTACGTACACTTGTGTAAATGCCTTATATAGTGTGAAATAAAGAAAGATTGATTGAAGATTGAAAGATTGAGCCAAAAGACGATCTCTTTGGTTCATTTCGCCAAGCCTCGGAGTCAAGTATGAATTTTTATAATTCGAAATTGGTCTATAAAAAAGCATACCCCAAAAATGTATTACAATCAAAAAACAAAACATACAAAGATATTAAGAAAAACACGGTCGAACCTCTCGTAAGCGAGCACCCAAAATGCAAAGACTAAGTGGTCGCTTACGGAAGGTAGTCGTTTACAAGAATCGAACCACAGGGGTCCTCTTCCGAGAAGAGGTCCAGGTACAACTGCTTTATGGAAGATGATTTATTGCATGCGATGTCTAAGTTAGGCTATGTGTGGTTCCATATGTTTTCACTGAAGGTCTTCGCATATTCTAAGTAACATAATACACACAGCGAAAATAAGGTTCAGAGAATTCGCCAAGCGGTCGCTTAAAAGAGGTTAAAAACAATAGAAAATCATTAACCGTCAGGCCCAAAAAGTAGTTGGGGTCGCTTGCAGGATGTGGTCGTTTACTAGAGGTTCCAACTGCAAGGCTTTGACTGGGAAAATTTTGGTGTTTTGTATAGGCGGTCGCTTTTTATGCCAGTATTTGTGAAAAGCAGTTATTATTTTATTCTATTCCGTTATTAATTGGATGTGCGTCAACCAGGAAATTACTCACACATGAAAAATTAAAAGTTATATACCTCTTTCCATTCGTTGCTTCCCATTGCTTGAGTGTACATGACAACCACTGATGAGGAAACAGAGTCACTGTCAGATATGTTGCATTCATACAAATTATCCTCCCTCACCTATGCCATTTTCCACCGCTTCAGATAATAAAGTTGATGTTACACGGGACGATTCGCAACGACGATTTTTAGCGCAACACAGCCTTACAACATTGTTATTTCATTGTTTGAAATGGCTGCAATATTGTTCCAATATTTGAACCCTGTTTTGCGTTAAAAATTGTCGTTGCGAATCGTCCCGTGTAACATCACCTTAAGGACTTTAAGCTCCAACGACGCGACGGCATCGAGAACGTCGCTCAAAAAGTGAATTGGCGTTCTTTCAGTCTTTATCGCGATTTTTCCTACCCACTTACTTTGTCAAACGTAGGCGAACCCAACTGGAGTTGAATTCCTACGGAACATATCTAAGTTTCAAGAGAGAAAAAAGATTTCGTCGTTGTTTGTTTACATTCTCCATAAAACGCGCGAAATTGGGCATTTTCAAGTCGTAGACGTGCAAATACGGCAAAGAAATGTACAAAAAAAGTGTGATGCACATGCAAAGATGTTGTTTTTTTTATTACACCTATTGTTGTTTTGACATTCTCTTTGCCGTCGGGTCGTTGGATCTTGATGTCCGCAATATCTTTTCAAAGAACCCCTCCTCCTTTTTGTTTCTGAATTCAATAGCTTTTTTAATCTAATTATTTCAATGTTATCCATCCTACCTCTTGTTTTGTTGTTATCATTTTACNCAATATTGTTCCAATATTTGAACCCTGTTTTGCGTTAAAAATTGTCGTTGCGAATCGTCCCGTGTAACATCACCTTAAGGACTTTAAGCTCCAACGACGCGACGGCATCGAGAACGTCGCTCAAAAAGTGAATTGGCGTTCTTTCAGTCTTTATCGCGATTTTTCCTACCCACTTACTTTGTCAAACGTAGGCGAACCCAACTGGAGTTGAATTCCTACGGAACATATCTAAGTTTCAAGAGAGAAAAAAGATTTCGTCGTTGTTTGTTTACATTCTCCATAAAACGCGCGAAATTGGGCATTTTCAAGTCGTAGACGTGCAAATACGGCAAAGAAATGTACAAAAAAAGTGTGATGCACATGCAAAGATGTTGTTTTTTTTATTACACCTATTGTTGTTTTGACATTCTCTTTGCCGTCGGGTCGTTGGATCTTGATGTCCGCAATATCTTTTCAAAGAACCCCTCCTCCTTTTTGTTTCTGAATTCAATAGCTTTTTTAATCTAATTATTTCAATGTTATCCATCCTACCTCTTGTTTTGTTGTTATCATTTTACGAAACTAATATTTTAAGGTATATCCTCGTTTCAAGATTAAATTCCGTTGACTAATATTTACCTGCAAATAGAATTTGTATGTCTTTTCTTTCATGTATATTGGAGTAATTAATCTGCAGCTAGGCGTCTTTTTTCTTCTGTTTTCGAGATCGAAAGGATATACGGACGCCCTGGAGGGCATTCCATTGTTATTATACGAAACCCCTTTACTAGGTTAGGTCATGTGATCCAGCAAGGCGTGTGCTTGCCATTCGCCTCGATTGACTGCAATCGGAAGACGTTTACTGGGCCAATTATAACAAGTGTATCAGGACTTGCTGATGGATTTTAATAAAAGCGGGTTTGGACAGTAACCCGTAGTAAAGGGTCTGATAGTCAAACTGGCCCGCTGGTAAATGTTTTGTCGAGTTGTTGAATTGTGCATGTGGGAAGAGGGACAAACATCGAAACGGGAGCAAGTTTTAATGCTTGTGCAGCCGCTCAAAACACAGGCTATTCAAATAATAACCAGTATTTTCGTTTAATTCTAGTAAACAAGTCGCCGTTCTTGCATTTTTCTTACGTAAATGTCCATCTTGATGTGCTGTTTAAAAAAAGAGCAGGAGGGTATTACCAGGTTCAAATAATCTAGGCGAAGCCGAGAGTTTTTACACACGATAACACACGACTGCGAGTTTTTAACGGCTTCAAAATCTCTGATATCAACTCATTCTTGCACTAATACTTAGATGTGGGGTTCTTATGTTCTAAAAAAATTGGTGTTAAGTTGAGCGGTGTCTCATTAAACATTAGTTTTTCAATGAGTTTTTGAAGTTTATCACAGTCGCCCCAAAACGTAACCTTAACAACCTTTTAAAACACTGTGAATTGTTTTTTTTATGAATACTAATTAAACGACGCTGATCGCTGCTCACGCTATGAATCTTGACTCTATTGGTAATAATATGCGATAATTCGATTTTGCTGGTGATGAATATGTTATTCGAAATAAGCGGTTAAGTGGACACAACTTTTTGAAGAAAATCGCGTCTGGTGAAAAATTTGCTGACATTTTTGCCTGAAATTTCCGGGTTATCAGTTTTCATTGTTGATATCAACTATGCCCGAATAAATTTCCAGAGAAATTTTTGAAGCAAAAGTTCGTTACTATAAAGTCCTTTAAAAATGTGGACGAGCAAGTCATGTCGACTTCAGAGCAAGTCTTGCAGCAATTATAAATGCTAACAAAACTAATAAGTACCTTTTAAAACAAGGCCCTAGTGGCAATCAGCTTTGTTTTAAGAATTTTCTTCCATAGGAAATACTTGTCCCCCTCGTAAAAAATATTCATCATCGGTCAAATTGAATTATTTCATATAGCCGAATGATTGCTGTAGGTCTTGTGTCCATCGCATTAAAACCGAAAACATTATAACACAAAGTTTGTCATCGTTCAATGCATTTGTAATAACAACGGAGTCACTTCAAGAAAATTCTACAAAGTATGCAGCGCACGCCAAAGAATATATTAAGCTTATTTCAAAATATGGCGAACGTGATTGTTTTGGTGAATTTCTTCACGTTTCTAACCTATTAAGTGTGTGACTTAATATTACATCATGCTGTCATTACGTAACTGAAACATTCTCGGCAACTTTCAACAAAGCCCACTGGCAGCTAACGCCAACTTTTAGTATTGCTCTTTCTCACCGCCCGTTTCTGGAGCTTAAATTTTGGCTTCAATTTGTGGCTACTAAAAGTACTTACTTGGATCGGACTTAGAAAACACATCCATATCAGCAAGGTTCCTTTTAAAAAAGAAAAGACACATTCTCAATCTCATAAGAGTAAACTATTCAATCATGATTTTTAAATAGATAACTTGACCTTACAGTGAACGACTGGCTGTCTTTCATGGTTCGTATAATTTCAGACAAACAAAATTCAAGGATTGTTTGAGAACCTTTCAAGGACAAATTACAGCTTTTAAAGTCTAAGATTTCTTCAGTAACTCGCGTTTCTTTGACCCCCTTTGGAACACATTACTGGCTAAAACACTCAGCGGAGTCATTTGTGATTTTTCCTTTCTCAGCCATGGCTGATCGGTTTACATTATTATTAAACTACTTTCCGTGACAACACTTTGCAAATGACAACAGTCACTGGCTATGACTTGCAGTTGTATCTGAAGTACAGAAATAGCATTTGAAACAAAGAAAGACAAATAAGAAAGTGGAGAAATTCAAGAACTTTTCAAGACCTAATAAAGAAATCAAGTACTTCTCAAGGACCTTAACCGAATTCAAGGACTTTTCAAGATCACTAGTAAAATTCAAGACCTTTTCAAGATTGTACGAACCATGGTCTTTTGACTGTGCGATTCAAATAACAGTTAATAAAGACAAATCAAAAGTTTCAAATGAAACTGATGATAACACGCAGATGTATAAAATTGCATGTTATTGATAACGCAGCATTTTAACTTCCTCAACAACACATGTTTAAAACTTAAAATTGAGGATTCATAAAAATGCATGTCAAATTCATCCTATGCTAGAAACACTCTTGCACTGGTATTTAATCAACATGTGTTCTATTAAGCGTCTTTACAAAATCTTTAATTTTGATAATACATTTGTTAATTTCAATCAATATACATCTAAACTAGCCCATCAGTGAGCGGACAGTTCGTTATGCTTAATTATGTAGAGCAGTTAACTTCGCTGTTTACAAAATCGGTCGTTTTACCTGCAAGAAACGTGCAGTTCCACTTGTGTCACTGGAAGAGAATTTGTAAATGATCTGGCTCCGTCGGGTGAAACACGATCGTGATATGCAGGAGACCCGGAAAAAGCCATTTTGATTGTTTTGACTCAGTTAAAAGCCAGAGTATCCATTGAAAATTGTATTTACATAATAAGTGTTTTACCCTTGAAGTCACGTGTCATATGCCCATATACCATATAAATGGGAGTACCCCCATGGAACGGATCAAAATTGAGGTTGTTTGAAAAAAGAAAATATTAATAAATACGGGCTTTTGCGCCCCCCCCCCCCCCCCCCCCCCCCCCCCCTCCCCGTCTCCCCCCCGGCGGCTCCCGGTGGTGCCGCACTCCGACCCCCCGCACCCTCCCCATTCTCGGGCGCTCCCCCNCATTAGCTTGCAGCATATTCCTGGAATATAATTTTAAGTCCACCAGGTCATGGTTTACCATGTGTCGGGTGGTACTGAGCGTATTTAGAAATAACAGAGGATGTTAGCATCGACAACGAGTTCTAGAACGAGACCAGCGATTTTGCGTACTGCGCATCTGTTCTGCGCATCTCCACGTTTTCAAGTCGTCCTGACAAGTGGCACTACGACGAGTTCTCACCAAAAACTCGAAGTGGGTAGAACGACTGGGAAGAGCTGGTTTTCAAAGGTAAATTCCGATCGTTTAATGCAGTTTCTTTTCGTTTCTAGCCTTTCTTTATCATCTTGAACATTCCTTATATTATGTTTTATGTAAAATACTGCTTTTGAAGTCGAGGAAAACGCATGTTTTGCGAAGAAAGCTTAGGAAAGATTAAATTTAGAACTTTTCCGAAACGTGTGGGTCCACGAATTGTATCGCTTGAAAGCGTTGATTACTTTGGAACAACTGAACACTACTGAGTGGTCGAAAAAAAAAAAGAAGAATCTTCATTAGCAAAACTGCGATGGTCGGGTGTTGTAAACTTTCATTGTACGTTGTGATGAGCATGCGGTTTACTTTCGGTGATGATTGAAATGACGTGCCATGTAAATCACTTTTTTGATCTCTGGCAATGATTTAATTTCTCTGGAATCGAGGCCCTTGAATTTTCGTGTATTTATACACGCGTATAGCCTGCGACCGCAGACGAATTTCCGGTTGTCGCTAACACGCGTACTAAATCAATTCAGAAACAAATAAAAAGTATCGACGTCGATAAAGTAGAAAGTAAAAAAACCTAAAGCGGTAAAATCCTGTTTCGTGTTTAGAATTAATCGCCGCGTCATTTGTCGATCTAATCTCCAAGCAAGCGAGACTCGCAGCTTACTGCCGCTGTAAAGAGCGTTCTTGTTGAATATGAGCTTACGTTTCCGCGGCGAATTCCTAATATAAACACCTAATATAAATAAAAAACCACGCTAATAGCGCCATTTCTCGGCAACGTTCTTTCTTTTGTCATGTTACTGGAAATTTAAGCCATCCCTGCAGTGCTTATGATCGACATGCTCATAGCGTACAATGTAAGTACACGACCTTCAGAACTGATAAAGTCAACAGCGAGTGTTGATGTTTTTCCGCAGCGAACGAGAGCGTGACCTCGTTCCCAGAGGTGGCGTGAGTAAATGCACACTTAAAGTTGTCCAAAGCACACTTCGGCAACAACGATGATATGTCGTTTTCATATCGGGCAGCGAAGTCCCGCCGACTTCAGAACCGAAGACTGTCTTCATCGAGTGAGTGAGTCATTAGCATATCTCAAGCTACAGCGATAACTTCGTGAAATACCTTTCGGGTATTCACGAGTTAAAAAAAGGAGAGATAACAATGGAAAAAAGTGGAATAAAGAAGGCCGTCATCCTAGCTTAGCGATTTTATCAGGAGATTGTAAGATATCATAAATTACTTCTTGTCTATAGTGTGACCTTTCTAGGTTCACAGCAAGAATTAACGAGTGTACGGTATGCTGAACGGACAGCTGCAGATTTTATATTACTCGTCCCTAAGAACATTCCAGAAAAAAGCATTGACAAATTAGTTGTTGACATTTTCGCATCGGAACTCGTTTGAATGTTTTGGTGCTAAAGCCAAACTCGTGATTCTGATGAGGTAGGCATGGCAACCAGGTCTAAGGAATCACAAAGTTTTGCTCGGAGGAGGGTGAAAATCCCAACTTAGGAACTCTAGGGAGAATGAGTGTAAGCTTTGTGTTTAGTGATTTCTGGTAGAGGAGTGGGTTACCGTAAATCCTCTAGTAAGCCCCCCCCCCGGGGGGCTTACTTTTTTCAAGCACTTTTGAGGGGGACCGGACGGACTTATGGTTCCCGGGCGTCGCCTGCTTTTTCTAACAATAAGAAAATGGTACCAATTCTCCACAGAGAACTAGAGCGTAAAGTTGAAAAAGTTAAGCACATGCATGAGGTTGGAGGTCATGCTGCCGAAGACCAAAAACAATATGAATTTCCAGCCTGAATTAATCATAACTGATCACTCCACGTTAATTCTTTGTGAAGAATGGAGGGGAGGGGGAGGGGGAGGGGCTTAATAGAGAGGGGGACTTATTAACTTTCCTCCTCTGAAAAGGAGGGAGGGGCTTATTGAGAGGGAGGGGCTTAATAAAGGATTAACGGTAGTTATGATTGGTTGATGGTATTCAGGGTACTCATTTACCAATCAAGTAACGCTTGTCTACCCAAATGATCCCAGAAATCATTGCGCCTTAAGTTTGTAACCATTCCATTTAAATTTTCTGGAGTGGGAAATTCAAGCAGGACTTATGTACTCCACTGATACAATCATGCAACATCAAGAACATCTGCCTATTTCTACAGGTCCAGATAGTAATGGTAAACATTTCTAGCTATTCGCCACAAGACACAGCTGAGGACTTTTTTGGGCTGTCACGCTGTAAGCCAAAAAACGAAGCAAGTCGGTATCACGTGACAGTTTTACGCCCGAATACGTGACAAAAATATATCTGGCCACAAAGTGAGACTTCAAAATGCTGGCTTCTAAAGGATGCAATAATCACTGGCGTGCGTCAAGTAAAATGCACCTCATGTAAAATTCCTGAATTCAGATCCCATACCCAGGCATCGCAAAATGCAGCGGTTGAGAATCAAGACACAAACTGTATGTACAGAGTGTTATAATGGAGCACGATTTATTTTTGTCTTTAAATACAGTTTTTAAAATGAGCGGTACACCCAAAAGGAAATTTACAGGAAATACTTTACATTGTCATTAATTTTATGGAAAAATGTAGATAATGTATTGGATAAATTTAATTTAGGTTTCTGGGAAACTGCCCACCTAGTCCTCCCCTAAGCCATCATTTTGCCCTAAGTGAGAAATAAGTGTTAATGTTAGCTTAGGGGAGGGGTAGGTGGGCAGTTGCCGCCGTCGCGCTCTCGGATCTTGAGGTCCAGTGACTCCCACTTTCCCGAGTAATATTTGGTAAAAAAAGAACTGTCAAGGTTTCAAGATGTACAAGCCTCGAGAGTACAGTTCTTACAGTTTCCGATTATACACAAAAAATTGTCTTCATATCAGTAACGATGAACCAACATTCTTTACTACATACACTTAATCTGTCGGAAATCTGTCTCATACAACACAGAGAACTTGCTACATTCGTTAACCCTTTAAACCCTAACATGAAAATTCATATTCTCATTTGTTATCCCTATACATTTTCAAAAGACGTAGTTGGGAGAATTTGTTGAAGAATCAATTAGATTCATCTTGTGTGATCATGTCCTTAATTCTCATGACCACTCTGTTTTATAAAGCAGTGATATTTCAAGGAGAAATTTGACGCTGATCACTCTTAGGGCTTAAAGGGTTAAGAGTAATGCTACTCTAGGAATTCACCACCTGTTTATAACTAAGTTCACTTTCACAAAAAAACAAGAGAACCTCACAATGTTGCGAGGCTATCACGCAAAATTCACCTAGGAATTCATTACAAATAATTCTGAATATCAGAAGGCTTGTTCTTCAGCACACATAGTTTGTGGTAAAGAAATGCACCTCTTAAACTACTTTCACCTTATTGGTAATCAACAGCCTGTTTTAAATGAAACTCACGTGTACCGATGACAAACGTTTTGTCAGCACCAGCTTGGAACAGACTATTAACTAAACGTTTAACCCAAGGGTGACTTAAAACTAATCAAGTCCACTCACTGGAAATGTTAAAACCTAGAATTTTTTCCTACATATTGGTATATAATACTATATTGATAGAAATAGTCTGTTTCCCCCAGACCACACTCGGCCTTTCAGCTTGCGCTAATAGCCCACGTTCGATATATTAAAACTCTAACATGACTCCGGGGCTTTCTGGTCATTTTTCTATATTTGCTTTAGTTTTTATTGTGCCCAAGTCTCTTCTTGGAATTGAGAGACAATGGAGTCTTGAAAAATTTGCACTTTTGTCTCTAAAGCCTCGGAGTCATGTTAGAAATTTAATGTCTTAGATAACAATGACCTCAACCAGGTTGTGCGTCCAGCTGTTTTAGTGAAAACAGTGGTCTCGGTCATTTTTATTTAAGGATTTTCTATTCTCCATTCGAGGGCCGTTTCCCAGACTAATATAAATATTCTTACAATACTCTAATATAAAAATTCTTACAATATTCTAACAAAATGCTTTGAAGGCTCTATTTCGCCTTATGGTTACTTTATCGATATTCTATACCTAGAATATTCTCTTTTGCTGTGAGTTACATTGGGGAAACAAATTCGTACAAGCTTAAGAGCTCTCTTTACTGCGCATCCCAGGATAATCGTTTTACGCAGAAATTACTACTCAGTACTGGACGCCGCTGGTCTAGGAAAACGCGGACTCTGGCAACGAGATTGTGAATGGTCCCTTAAATAGTGGCCATATGTGAGAAGTTGTATCGAGGAGGCCTGGGTTTGATGTTTCGTTTTTTCATGTAATCAAGAAATTGATCTGGGAGTTCTTCCAGCACATCTTTTGCCAATCGAGCTCCGCTTATGACATTCCCAGCTTGTCCAATGTAATCTCGGAAGGGCACAAACTATGATTTATAAGGACATATTAATATATACATTTAGCCGAGGCTAAAAGCGAAGTTCCCGTATATGAATTTATAAGTTATTTCAAACAATAAACTTTTCAGTGGACAACTTCAAAAAAACACGTAACCTCGATGGGTCGTCACCTGAGCCGCGATATAGTCATGTGATATTGGTTAGCGGATACCCTGTAATTGACAGTAATATGAATGTGCAACATCAGGTTGCACGCTCCCACTCTAGAAATAATGTGAGACATTGCATATTGGTTTCCCTGTGGTGCGGACGAAAGGACGTACGGTCACGTGCCCGTATGGATAGACAGCCAAATCGTCTGAGTTCATGGGTCCGCTCGCGCGCGCTTTGCGAACGCGTGGAGCTCCGCTATGAACTGACTAACTACCCACTGCTCACTAATTGGTTGGATAAGGAGCTCTCTGATTGGCTAAGTAAGGAATGTTTTGATTGGTTGGATAAGGAGGTGCAGTCGGATTGACAGGGTATTGTGGACCGGGAAGTGTTGTGAATGGAGCGTTTTGATTGGCTGAAGGAGTCATAATCGGCATGATGGTTTCAACTGAAAGTGGTTGAGGTGGCTTTGGTTTGATAGCATTTGATTTCATGTACGACAGAAGCTGATCTGGAACCTCAGCCAATACTTCTTTTGTGAGTAAATCGCCAGCTAATGCACCTTGGGTTTGGAAATCTCGGAATGGAACAAACTGAAATTAAGTGGAAAGAAATTCACTGTGTAAAAGGCACAGAGTCCAAAGCTGAATTTTCCCTACTCAGTTATGCAAAGCTACGGAATCAATGTCACTGATGAAAAGTTCACAAAACTACTTTGAATTTGACTCGCACAAAGGTCTTTAAGATATCCCAACGAAAAAAAAGTGCAGAATAAAACACATGCAATAACCCCACACAATGTAATAACATCTTCAAATTAATTACCCTGTGGGTTTTCAAAAATAAAGCTGGAAATTTAAAAACTGCCAGAACTACCACGAAAATTACAAAGGTACCTTATTTAAAAGATTTTGATGAACAGTTTTGATACTTTTGAGTTTAGAGAAGACTCGAGGTAAACGGAAACAGTTTTGAAAGGGAGAAAAAATACCTCAAAAATTATCTTTCGTCTTTTTGTCTGGCAGTTTGTCTTAAATACAACAAATACACATTGCATTCTAAGGATGCGACTTAAGCATCGTTTTTTTAAATAGAACACACACACAAATAGTGCAATACCTCACCTGTACTATGTCTCTTTCCGCGTTTCTTCCACGCGATGACAGGCGAACTGTATCTCCATCAAGTTCCTCCATAGCTACAAGATGCAAAAAAAGGAAATTAAAATAAATAACCATAATATCATAATTCAATTTTTCACAAAAGCTAGTCACGTGTGGCACGAATAAAGGCTTTGAATCATTCACACGTCACCAGAACACCAGTTACGGAGGCCGTAGGATATACCAGGCTGGACGCTGAAGAGGCGTTACGTTGGGCAGGGTTCCTACGCTTTTTGAACAAGAATTCCTTCATTCATGCCTTTTAAGTGGGTAATTCTCATTTTTAAGGACTCCATGCCACTTATAATCAAGACAGTAATACTCATTTGTGTTGCTTCTGATCTGCCGATAATATTTTGTAATTGTCTCATTAACCACTTGGGGTTCCGACTTGGTTGAAAAGAGCAACAAATTTCAAGGACGTTTCAGTTAAAACTGGTAACTTCGAGGACTTTTACATGTAAGGCTTTGAACTTTAAATTCGAAATTCAAGGACATTCACAACGCGTGCGAACCCTGGTGGTAGTGTAAGTGACGTATACTCAAAAGTAACGGAATTGTAAACGGAATCTCGCCAGAATTGATGGCGCAACTGAAGAAAGATTTCCTTTTAATTTCCTAACTGTTTCAGCTGCTATGTAACCTCCTCCCGTTACGCCCCCGTAAAAACTAACACAGCGGAAGTAAAGACAGAAGGGGATGTTTGAGCTATAAATCAAAGCTTTTCTCTCAATATGAAATCAAGAACAAAGCAACAGCATACAAATCATGCTTTCGCTTATGAATCGCGCATGCTCATTAAGGCGTCAACGCTTTTGAAAGGTTTAGCCTACATTTTTCAAACGCCACCGGCGTTATGATTGCCGAGTTTTGATCGTGTTAGATCTCATCCATCCTTCTTTGATCAGCTCTGTTCTTTGGTACTCTAGCTGTTTAAAGTGTTAAGAAGCAATTACTGGACACATTTCTGAAATCTTATGAATTTTTGCGGGCTATTGTTTACTGATCCAAAAGATCTTCGGATCATGTCAGGACATGGTGGCCATCTTTCCGTAAGTGGACGAAGAAAGCTGTTCGAAAGTAAAGCTGCCGCTGCTCGGCACTGGCAAAGAGTTCATTGGAGAAATGGGTAAGTTATATTATTTATTGGTCTTGGCTGTCTTCTTAACCCCTTCAGTGCCAGAGTGTTTGATGGAGTTTTGTAAGGTGAGTCTAACTTTTGAGTCTGCAGACGAAATCCTATGATGTGACCATTCAAATGAAAGCTCTCTGCCTGTACTTTCATATGGTGCTATTTGTTGGTCAAAATTGTAGCAAATGAAATTTGGACATTTGGTCGACATTTGCCATTGGCCACATTTGGCACTGAAAGGGTTCATAAAATGCGGTTAAGAGAGCGATTCCGAGTTCTTCTTGCCCTAGGGTAAGGAATAAGGTAAGCACATATATGCTTTTTGATTGCGACATTTCGTAGGCAAATTTTCATTGAAAGGACTAACGATGAGCAAGGAAGCCTGTCGAGTGAAAAAGAAACCTCATCATGGATCTTAGTCCAAACGCCGGCGCCATCTTAGAGATGAGAGTAAATGTCTATCCTTGTATTTTTTAGTTACTGAAAGTCTGCAGTCCTGATTCAATTATATGTGCTTATATACCGCTGCTGGTTTTGGCTTTCTTTCTCCCCCCTCCCCTTCACTGAGACAATTTAAATCAGCAATAATGGAGCCTTTTCCGAAACAAAGTTATCAAGTACTTACCATCAAATTCAGCCGGTCCAACACCCACAATAATAATAGAAACAGGCAGAGAAGCTGCCTAAAATCAAAATATACATGTAATAGTTAAGAACAATTATTATCTGCAAATGGCTTCAAAATTATGCTTGTTGTTATCCGTTTACGCAGGCGTTAATTTGGCTCCTCACTCAATTCTTTCCAAAAGAAGGTAAACTCCTGTGTAGGAAGCTAAGGAAGCTTTCCATTTCTCGGAACGGCCCGGCCAGACTATTCCCGTCGTGATGCGAATTTCACTTTTAATCAAAACTATCCAGCCAGATCAGTTTAATCCTAAGTAGTATGTACTAAGGAGACGGTGTTTCAGCAAAAAGCCTATTTCAAAAAAAAATCCGATTTCATTTGATAACTGACTAGTCCGGCAATGGTCCGGGCGGCCCGTTCTGACAAATGGACAGCGCCCTAACTTAGGCCACGTTTGGCTTCTCACACAGTCTTTCTAATCGATGCGCGACGTTTGCGAACTTGGGTCAAAGTTAACTAGTGTCCTGTGACATTTTAAGGGCTAATAAGGGTCCAATTTTCCTACTAAGGCGAACAATACAGAGTTCAATATAGTCCAACGCAGGCTGTTTCACAAACAATGACAAACAAACAACAAATTCAACACTTGCCGTCGTTTAACAAGTGGAATAGAATAGAACCTACTTTCGGTCACAGGTTGAATCATCCAAAATGTAAAGGCGAAATATTCACTGTTTGCTCTGGAGCAGCTACAAGCTTGGACAGAATAAAATGGTAAAAACAGATCCCACTGCCCCCCCGCCCCCCCCCCCCCCCCCCCCCCGCCCCCCCAAAAAAAAACCAACAGCACAGAAACACACACACAACGATCCCCCAATAGCGCCCGATACCCGCAACGTGGGGAACTCTTCTTTTAAACAACAATTCATGCACAACACTTCGTCTTTTCGAGTTTTTTCTCTCCTCCCACAAAGAAATAAAAATCTTACACATGACAAAACAGCCAAACGCAGCTGTTTTACAAAACAAAAAAAAACAAACAAAAAATTCAACCCTGCCCCCGGTTAACAAGTGGAAAAAAAAAGAACCCCCCTTTGGGCACAGGGTGAAACAACCAAAAAGTAAAAGGGAAAAATTTCCCGTTTTCCCTTGGGCAGCCAAAAACCTGGAAAAAAAAAAAATGGAAAAAAAAAACCCCCCTCCCCCCCCCCCCAACCCCCCCCCCCCCGCCCCCTTCAAAAAAAAACATCAAGGACGAAACTACACGAAAACGCGCCATTAAGCGACGCACGTTAACCGGAAGTGAGGTCCTTTTTATTTTAAAACAATTTGACGCCACCAAATTTGTATTTCTTAGTCTCTTTCTACCGTTCAAGAATGACAAAAATACACTTCCGGTTGACGAGGGCAGCTCAAAAACGTCTTTGATTAAGTTCGCTAATATGTAGGTGCAGGGAGGGGAGGGAAAGGAAAAGGTGGTCTTAATTTTTCTATCTATTTAACTCACGATTGTGGCTGATAAATTATTTAGCCGATGAGTAAGTGTTATATAATTAGCCGTAAGGCATTGGCTTAAGTGGTCTACTTCTAGGTCGGCCCCCTAAATTGATACTCAAAATACCTTCCCTTAGAGTTGCTTTTGTGCATGCAACAGTTACTTACATTAACAATAGCTTCCTTTGTTTGTGCCATGTCGGAGATGATTCCATCAGTTAACATCAGAAGCACAAAATATCTAAAGGGAAACATTATGTATTGAAAACGTAAAGTAGCACGAGACGAGAATGCAGAGAGAAGCTAAAAACCCAAACAAATTATAGTTTACTTCTAACTAACAAGCCAGTGCACTAACTACCTTTTACGACCATTTCAAACCCGAATGGTATCATTACGTCCATGTCCATTCCATTTTAAGATTTTCTTGTTCTCAGGCCCGCGGAAAATTTTGGTCGAAACAAACACGGTATGTTTCTATCTGTGATGATTTTCCAAGAAAATAGCCCGTCCCTTTGAAGAGACAATGCTATTCCACTTTATTTATTTATGCTGGTGGACTTTGATGGGCTGGTCTGGTGCAAGGGACAAAACTGTTTAATTCTACTGTGGTGTGAATTGAAAAAGAAGTGGTTACGGCCTTCGTTATATCTCGAAAACACTCGTTGCTCGAAAGACTATGGCGCAAATCCAGAGATGGTTGTCATGGCAACCAATAGTTGAATATGCTCTGTGAGACAGTTATTGTATTGTTGCCCACCTTAAATAGCTCCGCTACTTGTGGGTAACAACAAAGACTTAAATTATTTGATAATTGAATAAACTGTTGTTGTTGTTGCCGTAAAGCGGGCTTTGAACAACTAGGCCCAACTAAAGGGCTCCATTCTCATTTGACAATTGAAAGATTGGTTGTGTTACATACTCATCTCCAGGGCTCTGTCTGTGCGATGAACTTGCAATTCTAAAACATGAAAAAAAGAAAATAAGCAAAGGTTCAAGTTTACACTCAACATACTCGTCTTTTTTAATAGAGAAAAATATACAGAAATGAAGAAAAAACTATCAATTAATGCCTCAAGACACGAGAATTAACAACAGTTGTTCAAATGAAGCTCAACAGCAAAGCAAAATCTATCGCCGCGCGCAAAGCAGTATGAGAATTAGGGCAGATGCTGTTTGGAAATTCAACTGCAGTTATAAACAGCAACCAGCTGTTGAGTGATGAGCAGCAAACACTTGCTCGAGATAGTGAGATTGGTGTTAACTTTGTAATTTTCACATCGACATTGATCTAAGCTTCAAACAACTACAACGCCCTCTTACCTTGATATTTGATTTATTATTGGTGCGAAGTTGGTAGGACCTGCAGTTAAATTATAAGGGAGGCAACGTCAAAGCTATGGAATAAAGTCTAAAATTTTATTTTAAAAATAATGATCTCTTCTACTCTCCGAACACAAATGTAAAGTTGGTGTCAAACCTCAATACCAAGATGTCTGCCTGTTATTGGGTTTATAATACTCTAAGGCACCAGTAATAGGCTTTTCTGCTGTATTACCCCCATTAGCCTTGAAAACAAGCATATTTACATAACAATCAAGCTGCGCCATTGACGTTACCGTATAGCTGCACCCTTTGAATGCTGTGATAATAAGCTGCCATCACTCCATCAATTCCTTCACACATGGGGTTTTGAGGATTTCCATTCTGAAAACAAACAACAATCGAAACAATAATTGCTTTTAATGCCTATCCGTATTTTTTTTCCACAAAATCATTTCGCTACAAGTCGCTTCACAGCATAGACTTTTCGCATCAAATACGACCACTGCAGGCTTGTGTACCTGTAGTTAACAAACTGGCTTTTGTAAAACACGTTCTGTTGTGTCCTTAAATCTATTGAGCAGCTGCAGCATTGACATCTCCAAAAATTCTGTTTTGTGGTAAAGTACACAGAGAGAAAGGAGAGGAGTCTAGGATCCCTTTAAAACCAACCCTGGGTATGTCATTGGGAAGACAGTACAGTCCTCTTCAGTACACAACACATAAAAAGAGTAACTTGGGTGCCAGAGACTATTCATGCGCGGTTTCCGGTTTCGGTCAAGCCTTGCCACTTGTGACTTCGGCCGAAGATCTGTCGGCCCGCCGCCGACAACGAAACGTCCAACCGCACGCGAGAAAAAAACACCTCTGGTGCCCGGAGTATGAAAAGTACACTATATCTAAAAACTTGTCTCTTGGAGCGTGATGTACACCTTAAAAATTTGAATTTATCAGCTATAATGAACGGTAAGGTTAAGTGAGACTCAGACACTTATGTTTCAAATGAAAGCTCTTCTATAGTACTGTTGACTGTAGTAGGATTGTTGCTACAACAAGAACAGACTGTTGTCAGGGGAATTTAAAAGCTTGTAGCCTGCGTGGTAGGCGTTCGAAGGAAAAGGGAAAGGGGATTTGGGGCGCGAGAGAAACGCGAGGGGCGCGAGGAGAGAGGAACACAATGGCTTCCCTGCAGCCGTTTCCCTCCCTCCCTCCTCGAGCGCCCCTCGCGTTTCTTTCGCGCTCAATTCCCCTTCGAACGCCTGCCACGAGGGCTAAAAAGCTTGGTACTCACCAGGGGAAACTCATGAGACACTTGCCAAGCTGGAGGCAAACGCGCACCAAATCCAAAAGCAGGGAAAAGTTTATCACTACAAGCAACAATTCAGTATTACAATCTCTACAATTAGAATGGTGTTGACATAGTATTAAGCTCCACTGAAAATGTCTCAAAGAAAGGGTATGAGGAGCAAGGATCACCACAGTCAGTTAGCGTACGGCCTTCTGTGCGGGGTTTACGGTCATCTCGCCACCAACGAAATCGCCAACAAGAAGTCTAATCGCCACCAAGTAACAGAGAGAAGTGTGACGTAACGTTACCATAGTGGCAAAATTTTTGGATGACAACAAAAGGGACTCTTGAGCAACGACGATGTCGACGGCAACAACAATGGCAAAAAAGTAATAGGTTAAGATTAGCAAAATAACAACTTTGCACGTGCATCACGCTTTTTTGTACATTCCTTAGCCGTCTTTGCACGACTGCGACATGAAATCTCCTAATTTCACGCGCCCGCTTTATGAAGTAAGTGAACACAACACAAAAATTTTCTTCTCCTTTTTTAAAACTTAGATACCGTCCTTTGGGATTCAACCCAGAAATTTGGCCAACATTTGACAAATTAAATGAAATTGGATAAAATCGATGAAGTTTGAAACAGTGCGAATTCAGCTTTTAAGTGACGTTTTCGGTTTGTTGTCATCCAGAAATTTTGCTACCAAGGCAACGTGACGTAACGACTTCTCCTCTCTATAACTGCACTAATTAGGGTAGTGTAGGAGCTGTTCGTAAGGTCTCTCCTAATTGGTCGCAGGAAACAATGACATGTCATTCTTTCAATTGTTTTAGTATTGTTTGGTGTCAGGGTTGGGCACCATTGGTGACTTCTCCTTCGAACAGCTGCTACATCCACTAATTGACGTGTTTACTAACCTAGGATTACTTTAATACCTAGGTCTTCGTCAAGATTTTCACTCTTGACTTTTTAAAATCGTAAAAATCCTAGCTAAGTAATTCTAGGTGAGTAAACACGTCGATTAGTACAGAGTTAATGTACAGATTTAGCCAGGGCTAAAAGCGAAGCTCTTTTTAATATTTTTAGTTCCTCAATCCTCAAAGAAAATATAAAATCGAGTAACACTAAAGACTAGGTGAAAACAACGAGAAGAGTAAAAAAAACAACAGCAGATCTAGTTAGCAAAAAAGAAAAACAACTTTGCACGTGCAGCACACTTTTTTCTAATTAGCAAAAAAAACAACTTTGCATGTGCAGCACACTTTTTTATACATTTCCTTGCCGTTGTTTTACACTAAAACGTGATTCCTATTTACACGTTTTACAGAGGAAATGTTTGTGTTCCTGTTCACTCTGTTGTTTCACTACCGCTCATTTTCACTTTGGTAGCTGCTAGCATTTCTCATTTTCTAACCGCCGTTATATTATTTTCATGTTTTTCTTCCAACGAAATTGGTCTCCGTTGTTATTTATTTCTCGCTCTAACTCTTTCCCTGTTATCTAAGTTAATGTAGACATTAAAATTTGGGGGGAAAAAAGACTAGTTTTTGTTGCTGTTGTTTTTTTTTCTCTTTAAAAGTCCGGGCAGCCATGTGATTACCGCCAAAACGGGCGGGATGCTTGAAATACAAAATTTCACCTCCCCAATAACAAACTCTTCCCCGACGAGCTGACTTCTGACTCTTAGACCCTTCGCCCTCCCCCAGTGTCTGTACGGACGGGAGGTCGTACGCTGACGTCATAACCAAATTTTCTTAGCTATGGGGCTCCGCTCGAAGCGCGCTCGAGGAGCTCCGCTATTACTTGGTGGCGAACTGTTTAGCGGCGAGTCGACTTCTTGGTGTCCCTGTGCGGGAGGTTCCATGTTCGATTCCCAGTTGTGACCTCAAATCCCCGTTTCGACTTCTTTCCTTATAGTGTTGCTTTAAGGAGCTTTAAATACGCGTAAAACAGAACACTGACAGAGAAAGTCCGTTGCTGTTTATCAATTTAGGTGTAAAAACCAGTGCCCTATTTATAATGAAAAAGGAGAAGAAACGTTAAGTACCCTGCAAGCAGAGGTTTATCTCTTGCATGGCTCTTAGCGTTTACAACGTCGTTCGCGTGGCTTGTCTGTTGCGTGGTTAGTTTGCTTACGCCCTGTCAACAAACTAACGTAAAACGTAAGAGACAAGAATCATCTTGTCTCCTCTCAGACATGAAACGGCTGGGATCTATGCTTCGCTCTTAACCACTGTGTTTTCAAATGATTTGTTTGATCTCTATGGAAGAAGGGCAGCTTTTATAAACTTGTTTAGCGCAACTTTTACGCGGTATTATAGTATCTTGAGGTTTTAACGCTTATAGCCACTAACAGCATTAGGAAGAGTACTTGTAATCGTAGTTATAAAAGAGTACTTACGTATCATAATCTTGACAAATTCTGCCAACAGCTGTAAGAGCTTTCACGTATTGATTCTGTTCATAAGGGTTTATGTAATGCAGAGAATTGGCATTTCTAGGGTCGCCTGAAAACAAACAGCAGACCTTTGTCAACGGTTGCCTTTGAGGCCTTAGATGGATAAGGTAATTAACAGTGCTGCAAATTACCCTTCTCAGTGCACACATCAAAGACAATGACAATAATAAGCGTCAATGAAATCTTACCATTTGAAGCAGTGAAATCAATGGCTACCGTGAAGTTTATTTGAGTTCTGTGCAACACGAAAGAAAAGAAAACCTTCAAATATAAATGCCATCTGATCGTTTTCACACAATCAATAATAAATAAAAAGACGAGCTTTACTCTGTGTTTTAGATACACAGCATCCTGTGAAAAGGTGCTGCTGAAGGAAACTACGTTTATTGTTTGCTAAGTTATTTACGTCTTATTTATTCTCCCCCCCCCCCCCCCCCCCCCCACCCCTCAAAACCCCCCCACCCCAACCCCCCAAAAAGTCTTACCTATGTAAAAATCTTGCCTTTAAAAATTCCCCCCCAACATATAAAAGTGTTTTTTTAACAGGTGAGAGAGCTATTTACTCATTGTGTAGGGAGGTATGAGGAGCAAGGATCACCACAGTCAGTTAGCGTACGGCCTTCTGTGCGGGGTTTACGGTCATCTCGCCACCAACGAAATCGCCTACAAGAAGTCAACTCACCGCCAAGAAGTTCAATCGCGACCAAGAAGTCAACTCGCCACCAAGAAGTCTAATCGCCACCACGTAAGAGAGAGGAGAAGTGTGACGTAACGTTACCATAGTGTCAAAATTTTTGGATGACAACAAAAGGGACTCTTGAGCAACGACGATGTCGACGGCAACAAGAATGGAAAAGAAGTAATAGGTTTTGATTAGCAAAACAACAACTTTGCACGTGCATCACGTTTTTTTTGTACATTTCTTAGCCGTCTTTGCACGACTGCGACATGAAACTTCCTAACTTCACGCGCCCGCTTTATGAAGTAAGCGAACACAACACAAAAATTTTCTTTTCCTTTGTCTAAACTTAGATACCGACCTCTGGGATTCAAAATTTCGCCAACATTTGACAAATTAAATGAAATTGAATAAAATCGATGAAGTTTAAAGCAGTGCGAATTCAGTTTTTAAGTGACGTTTTCGGTTTGTTGTCATCCAGAAATTTTGCTACCATGGCAACGTGACATAACGACTTCTCCTCTCTATAACTGCACTAATTAGGGTAGTGTAGGAGCTGCTCGTAAGGTCTCTCCTAATTGGTCGCAGGAAACACTGACATGTCATTCTTTCAATTGTTTTAGTATTGTTAGGGGTCAGGGTAAGGCACCATTGGTGAGTTCTCCTTCGAACAGCTGCTATATCCACTAATTGACGTGTTTACTAACCTAGGATTACTTTAATACCTAGGTCTTCGTCAAGATTTTCACTTTTGACTCTTTAAAATCGTAAAAATCCTAGGTAAGTAACCCTGGGTGAGTACGCACGTCGATTATAACAGAGTTAACGTATAGATTTAGCCAGGACTAAAAGTGAAGCTCTTTTTAATATTTATAGTTTCCTCAATCCTCAAAGAAAAATTAAATCGAGTAATACTAAAGACTAGGTGAAAACGACGAGAACGGTAAAAAACAACAACAATAGATCTAATTAGCAAAAAAACACTTTGCACGTGCAGCACACTTTTTTCTAATTCCCCAAAAAAAACAACTTTGCACGTACAGCCATTTTTTTGTACATTTCCTTGCCGTTGTTTTGCACGACTAAAACGTGATTCCTTTGTGTTCCTGTTCACTCTGTTTTTTCACTGCCGCTCATTTTCACTTTGGTAGCAAAATTTTCATGTTTTTCTTCCAACAAAATTGGTCTGCGTTGTTATTTATTTCTCGCTCTCACTCTTTCCCTGTTATCTAAGTTAATGTAGACATTAAAATCTGGTGAAAAAAAGACTCGTTTTCGTTGCTGTTGTTTTTTTTTTCTCTTTAAAAGTCCGGGCGGCCATGTGATTACCGCCGAAACAAGCGGGACGCTTGAAATGCAAAATTTGACCTCCGCTATAACATACTCCTCCCCCGACAGGCTGACTTCTGACTCCCTTCGCCCTCCCCCAGCGTCTGTATGGACGGGAGGTCGTACGCTGACGTCATAACCAAATTTTCTCGGATGATACATTACCAAATTTTCTTAGATATGGGGCTCCGCTCGAAGCGCGCTCGAGGAGCTCCGCTATTACTTGGTGGTGAATTGGTTAGCGGCGAGTCGACTTCTTGGAGCCCCTGTGCGGGAGGTTCCATGTTCGATTCCTAGTTGTCACCTCAAATCCGCGTTTCGACCTCTTTCCTTTCAGTGTCGCTTTAAGGAGCTTTAAATACGCGTCAAACAGAGCACTGATAGAGAAAGTTTGTTACTGTTTACCAATTTAGGTGAACAAACCAGTGCCCTATTTATAATGAAAAACGAGAAGAAACGCTAACTACCCTGCGAGCAGAGGTCTCTTGCATGGCTTTTAGCGTTTACGAAGTCGTTCGCGTGGCTTGTCTGTTGCATGGTTAGTTTGTTTACGCCCTGTGAACAAACTAACGTAAAACGTAAGAGACAAGAATCATCTTGTCTCCTCTCTGACATGAAACGGCATGCATGGCTTTTAGCGTTTACGACATCGTTCGCGTGGCTAGTCTGTTGCGTGGTTAGTTTGTTTACGCCCTCTGAACAAACTAACGTTAAACGTAAGAGACAAGAATCATCTTCTCTCCTCTCCGACATGAAACGGCTGGGATCTATGGTTCGCTCTTAACCACTGTGTTTTCAAATGATTTGTTTGATCTCTCTCTAAACTTGTTTAGCGCAACTTTTACGAGGTACTATAATAGTATCTTGAGGTTTTAACGCTTATAGACACTAGCAGTAGTAGAAAGAGTACTTGTAACCATAGTTATAAAAGAGTACTTACGTATCATAATCTTGACAAATTCTGCCAACAGCTGTAAGAGCTTTCACGTATTGATTCTGTTCATAAGGGTTTATGTAATGCAGAGAATTGGCATTTCTCGGGTCGCCTGAAAACAAACAGCAGACCTTTGTCAACGGTTGCCTTTGAGGCCTTAGATGGATAAGGCAATTTTAACAGTGCTGCAAATTACCCTTCTTAGTGCACACATCGAAGACAATGACAATAATAAGCGTCAATGAAATCTTACCATTCGAAGCAGTGAAATCAATGGCTACAGTGAAGTTTATTTGAGTTCTGTGCAACATGAAAGAAAACAAAACCTTCAAATATAATTGCCATCTGACTTTTTAAACAAAATTAATAATAAATAAAAAGACAAGCTTTACTCTGCGGTTTAAATTCACAGTATCTTCTGAAAAGGTGCTACTGAAGGAAACTGTGTTTATTGTTGGCTGTTATTTACGTCTTATTTACTCTCGCCACTTCCCCTCCCACCCCACCCCATTATACACCGCCACAATAATCCCTAAATAAAGTAAAATATTAGGCTTTAAAAATTACTCCCCAACGATTTTCCAATGATTTTCAATGGGATGAAAGTGCAGTAATTCCTTGCTTAGGGCTTAGACAACATTAACTCGAGACTGAGACAAAACTGTCAATGAATACAGCGAGCACAATCAGCTACATCTATAGCTAACCGATTTTTTGAAAACCCACCTGTAACGAAATTTACAGTCATTTGATTGAAAAGGCGTCAAAAGGCAGGTTAAGCTCGAGAAGCTCCAAAATCACAGAAACGAAGGAAGAGGAAAGGAGAAAGAGAAAGAGCGAGGAGAAGGAAGGAGGGGAGGAGAAAAAAGCAAAACTCCGGCTAGAAATGGAAACTAAATAATACACCATCTATTTAGATACATGGCTCATGTACACAACAAATTAAAATGTAGCTACCCTCCTCTGATGAAATCCAAAAAAGAAGGTTGTTGCTCTACCCTACATTGAAGCAGGGAAACCTGTGGAAAGGATTAAAAACCAGATTCTTATCAAAACAGGGAAAAGGGTGACGGCTGCATTGGTTGTACCATATAACTGTTTTCTAGCCTGATCCTGAAGCTGAGTTTATAGGTCAGCTCCAATCTAATGGCATATTATAATCACAAATGTTCCCATCAGAAAAAAAGGTACATTTATTCTTAATTTTCGCCTTTTTACTCCCCCCTTTAAAGAAAAAAACGAGAACAGGATTTGACACTAACTTTAGTTTGGATATCTGCCAGCTGATTTCCTGACAAAATAAAACCTTTTGGGGCAGTAATTTAAATTGCTAAGTGCAATTTATTTAACAGCATTTCATGATGAGTAATTAAGCATTTTCTGAAACTTTGGTCCTTAGGGTTTTAGGAGTAAAAAACTTTTATTACCAATTCTCTCATCAGTAAGCAGTTTTTAAGTCCAAAACACTTACTGTGCCCGAATTTTTGTATGATCCTTTCTTCTTTGCTTTCTTCTTGGGATTTATGACCTGACATTGTCAAAAGAAAAATGCCACATGTAAATAGTTACATCTACAAGCTCCATCTACAAGTTAAGCTGCAAGTTATTACTTGTCAGGAAGAACCTCCAGACTGACAAACCTGAGGCCGACAGTGTCAGGGGTGTAGCAAGCCCATAGACCCTTTAGGCCCAGGCCTAAAAATTTTTGGTTTGATCCCTCTACTGATTGTAATAAATTATGCGTTGTTGGGGTGAGCTAAAAAGCTTAAGAGCTGAAAGTGTTGGTGAGGTCAGTGCATACTAGTCATGTGTGCAATTTTCAGGATATGTGGGGATGAAAGTCAGCCAAACCTACAACTAGTCAAAAAGCTGGCTACACCCCTGACTGCGATCATTTTACCCTCAGCCCCCTCACTCTATCAGTGCACCATTTCATGGGTAGTAAAGCTACCTAAAGCTACATAGGGAGGGAAAAACCGAAAACAAGGAAGGACAAAAAGAACAAAGGTATGGATGAGTAAGTTCCCCTTTCCTTAAGCCCAAGATCTTCCAATGCAATAAGATGTTTTGCTGGACTGGAGTAAGTAAACTAAAAAATTCAATTACTTTGGTTACTATGTACTGAAACATGCTAAGATTCTCTAGCTTTGTGAGGCTATGTGCTTAGCAGGGTCTGCTACAGTGCAAAACGTTATAAAACTTGCCTCATATGTAATTCCAGAGACTGACTTCAGCTCATTTATGGTGGTTGAAAAGATGCCTATCAGATCATGCCTACAAATGGAAGTGATGTTAAACCTGATATCGATTACATTCAACTTCAACAACAGGATAACAGCCTCTATTAAAAACTGAATCATTGGATAATGCAATTCTAGAGTTCTGATTGGCTTAGCCATCATGCTATATGAGCCATTATACCATGCTCTCTAAATATGGTAACTGTACGCATCTGCTCAAAATTAAAAACAAGCTGAAAATCTGTTGTTTTTATAAATAAAGGCGGGAAAAATTCTCGATATTTTGTTGGCATTTTTAATCAAACAATAATTCCACTCACGCTTGTTGGATATGAGATGACTATAGCCAACTCATATCCAGCACACACTCGAAGAATAATAATCAATTATTATTGTTAAATATAAATTTTTTATTTAGAGACAGAAAATCACCACTCTTGACTTTCTCACCCTCCATCTCTGTCCCAGTCGTAACATTCCACCCTGATTGATCTGAAGAATTTTAAAAAAACTACATGTAAAATAAATGTTAATCATATTTCAAACACAAAAAAAAAAAAAAAAAAAGACGGGTTTCTGTGGGTTTTTGAAATACACGCTCCTTTGGAAATGGCTGGCTCAAGGAATCTCCCTTTTTTTTTTTTCAAGTTTTTTTGTCTTTTTTTTTTTCCCCCCCCCCCCCCCCATCCCAATTCCATCATACACCACCACCATAATCCCTACATAAATTTGAACTGTGTAAAATCTTAGGCTTTAAAAATTCCTCCCCAAGATTATCCAGTGATTTTTAACGGGATGGAAGTGCAGTTAACTCCTTGCTAAGGGGTTAGTCCGCCCCAACTTGAGACTGAGACAAAACTATCAATGAATATAACCCTGCACAATCAGCTATATCCACATCTAACCGATTTTTTGAAAACCAACCTAACGAAAATGTTCAGTCATTTGAGTGAAAAGGCGTCAAAAGACAGGTTTCTTAAGCCCGAGAAGCTCCAAAATCACAGCCACAAAGGAAAAGGAAAGGGGAAAGAGAAAGGACGAGGAGAAGAGAAAAAAAGCAGTGGTTGCACTCTTAGTTTTCATTATGTCTACTTTGGAGATACTTTTTGGCCGAAAACAACTGTTGGATGCAAAAAGTCCGTTTGGCGATAACGTTTGGTTATCAAAAATTCGGCTAGATATGGAAAATTAATAATATACCATCTATTTAGATACATGTACACAACAAAAATTAATGTAGCTACCCTCCTCTGATGAAATCCAAAAAAGAAGGTTGTTGTTCTACCCTACACTGAAGCAGGGAAATCTGTGGAAGAGATTAAAAACCAGATTCTTATTAAAACAGGGAAAAGGGTGACGGCTGCATTGGTTGTACCATATAACTGTTTTCTAGCCTGATCCTGAAGTTGAGTATATAGGTCAGCTCCAATCTAATGGCATATTATAATCACAAATGTTCCCATCAGAAAAAAAGGTACATTTATTCTTAATTTTCGCCTTTTTACTCCCTCCTTTAAAGAAAAAAACGAGAACAGGATTTGACACTAACTTTAGTTCAGATATCTGCCAGCTGATTTCCTGACAAAATAAAACCTTTTGGGGCAGTAATTTAAATTGCTAAGTGCAATTTATTTAACAGCATTTCATGATGAGAAATTAAGCATTTTCTGAAACTTTGGTCCTTAGGGTTTTGGGAGTAAAAAACTTTTATTACCAATTCTCTCATCAGTAAGCAGTTTTTAAGTCCAAAACACTTACTGTGCCCGAATTTTTGTATGATCCTTTCTTCTTTGCTTTCTTCTTGGGATTTATGACCTAAGATTGTCAAAAGAAGAATGCCACATGTAAATAGTTCTAAGCTCCATCTACAAGTGAAGCTGCAAGGTATTACTAGTCATGAAGAACCTCCAGACTAACAAACCTGAGGCCGATAGTGCCAGGGGTGTAGCCAGCCCATAGACCTGTAGACCTGGGACTACAAATTTTTGGTTTGATCACTCTACCGCTTGTAATAAATTATGGGAAGTCGGTGCGTACTAGTCATGCGTGCAATTTTCAGGATAATTATGTGGAGATGAAAGTCAACCAGGCCTACAACTAGTCAAAAAGCTGGCTACACCCCTGACTGCGATCATTTTACCCTCGGCCCCCTCTCTATCAGTGCTCCATTTCATGGGTAGTAAAACTACTTAAAGCTATATAGGAAGGGAAGAAGCGAAAACAAGGAAGGACAAAAGAACAAAGGTATGGACGAGTAAGTCCACCTTTCCTAATAAATTCTAGATCTTCCAATGCAATAAGATGTTTTGCTGGACTGGAGTAAGTAAACTAAGTAAGTAATCCTGTGCTGAAACATGCTATGATTCTCTAGCTTTATGAGGCTATGTGCTTATCGGGGTCTGCTACAGTGCAAAACGTTATAAAACTTGCCTCATATGTAATTCCAGAGACTGACTTCAGCTCATTTATGGTGGTTGAAAAGATGCCTATCAGATCATGCCTACAAATGGAAGTGATGTTAAACCCGATATCGATTACATTCAACTTCAACAACAGGATAACAGCCTCTATTAAAAACTGAATCATTGGATAATGCAATTCTAGAGTTCTGATTGGCTTAGCCATCATGCTATATGAGCCATTATACCATGCTCTCCAAATATGGTAACTGTACGCATCTGCTCAAAATTAAAAACAAGCTGAAAATCTGTTGTTGTTATAAATAAAGGCGGGAAAAATTCTCGATATTTTGTTGGCATTTTTAATAAAACAATAATTCCACTCACGCTTGTTGGATATGAGATGACTATAGCCAACTCATATCCAGCACACACTCGTAGAATAATAATTAATTATTATTGTTAAATATAATTTTTTTATTTAGAGACAGAAAATCACCACTCTTGACTTTCTCACCCTCCATCTCTGTCCCAGTCGTAACATTCCACCCTGATTGATCTGAAGAATTTTAAAAAAACTACATGTAAAATAAATGTTAATCATATCTTCATTACATCTGTAAAACACCAAGAAAGGATCTGACTTTCCAAAGAAGTCTTTCTTGTCGAGCTTTTTGCCATTAAACTGGAGTGTAACAACATCCTAAAAGAGGACCACACAGGGTTGTCAAAAGTAGCCGGCTGCCGGCGAAAATCGCCGCCTACTTGTTTAGAATCGGCCAGCTACTCTGTTGGCATTTCTTTATGGATGGCATTTTTAAATAAATATCCCTGGACTGGCTGCTTACTTTGACAACTTAGCCATCTACTTCAAAACTTCTGACAACCCTGACCACAGATGTTCATCAAGTTTGAGCCCACATTTCATTTCATAATTTGGGAAAAGGAAGTGCTTTGAAAGCCTGTGCGGAGGAATGCTTGGCTACACTATACAAGCCATACTGGACTTCTTCAAACACGTTTTAAAACTTGCAAAGATATTGAATTACTACTTACCCATAGTTGTATTTGCTTAATGCAAGGAAAATTTTGAAGTGCACATAAAATTCCAAGTCATTTTAACAATATGAGATATCATGCATGTTAATAGGTGCCAAAATGCTTTTACCTGCTATAACCTGCACCCCTAACTGCGGTCTTCGTTTTGCAAAAAAAGGTGCAGCTGATCAGAGGGTAAGTACAGTACCCTATAAATTATAATTTTTATGATTTCTGCACATGACTACCACAGCACTCCCCAATCATTTTGCCCTAAATGTGGCATTGCAAAACAGTTCCAAAATGTTAAAAAAGACACTAATTGGTTCTGATCATTCCCTTACTAACCTTGCAATCACTGAGTTCTTCAGCAGTTACTATAAAACAAACAGGAATTTTTTAATCAAACAACAGATCAGCCAGATTTGGTTAATGTGTCAGACATCTGAAATGAAGATTAGGATATCTCCAAAGCTAAATGTTGATTGAAAATATACTATGATAGCCAAAAAAAATGATCAGAACAAGAGAAAAATACTCGCCAATCATTGTTCCAGTTCTCTTTATCTTTGGATTTCTAGGGAAACAGACTAATTAGAATTCTTTTAATTGCATAAATTCAGAGAGAACGAATTAAACAGCAAGGTAATTTTCAGTAGTGTCAGATTTATCCACAGTGCACCATGCTAACTTACACTAAAGATTTCTGCAGTCGTCCACCAAATTCTCCAACAATGGATCCCAGAGTACATTCCATTGAGCCAATAAAATCCTAATAAACAAGCGAGAACGTTGAAAATCTTTGTTAGGGATTTGAATTCATTGATAAAGAGAGATTTTCCAGCAGATTTAAATGAATAACCAGGATACTCATGTGTATACTTACATGGTCTGATAACCTGGAAGATTTTTTATCTATGTCATACCTAAGACGTTAAAAATAAATAAATAACCTATAAATCATCTGTCAGAAAAACTAGATCAAGGATAAAAGTGAAGGACAACACATCCACTTACACTTCAAATCGAAGCTTTTGCATTTCTTCAAAAAAATAATGAATGATAAAAGTCTTGACAAAATCAGGATTCAAGTTGTTCATTATGTGTTCTGTTCTGCCAAACTAAAAGAAAACATGAGAGTTAGGTTTATTCTGATGCTTATATGTTACAGGTCACAGTTATGTTCAGGTCAAAATTTTTAACCTAGTTTGATTTTCAATTTGCTTTATCTCCTAGCCCTTAAGGTATTATTCATGAATAAGGGCTATGAGACTATAAAGGGAATTGAGAATCTAACTAGGTTAAAAAATATTAACCTGAATTTAATTTGACCTGTAATACATATATGCTTAGCTATGGAAGTGAAGAGTCCATGGTTCTCCATAAAATTGGGAAAATTTTAAAAGGAAAGGGAGGAAATATTTCAGTAAGTGCAAACAGATCAGATCGAATGAAAGGCACTTGGGTTTTGGAGTAAATGTGGAAGGGATTAGGATTAGACTTTTCATTAGGGCAGTCTGGTAGTCTGCTCTTGGAACATTTTAATTCAAACAAATAATTTGGGCACCCTGTCTATCTTTTGAGTGACCAGGGAGAGAACTCTAACCACGAGAATGGCGCCATTATTTACTAACCATTTGCTATATTTCATACCATATGTTTGTTCTTATTCAGCAAAGTGTTCAGACACAAATACTACAGATCTATTATCCTCCATAGAAAAAAAATAAATTATATAAGCCCTTTCCGTGAATAGCCATGCAGGACTCATGACATGGTGCCCTGAGCCAGAGAAAACCAGATTTAACTCCTTTAACTGAGAGTATTAACAACAATAATCATTAAACAGGGTACATTCCCACAAAAACATGGTTTAAATCCACCACTATTCCACCTGTACCTACCTCTCTCCACTCTTTGCTTCCCATAGCTTGAGTGTACATGACTACCACTGAGAGAAAAAAGATACTGTCAGTTACAATGTACCTGATTATACTTGATACATGCAATAATTATCTTCTGGGTACTATCCCCCTTCCTTTCTTGAGGACAAATCGAGGACATGCACCCAGAATTAACCCACCTACTCCTATCTCTACCCCCACCCACTGCAACCATTGACATTGTTAGGAGCAAATAGCAGAGATACCAGCTTCTGAAGATCTAAAATTTGGAGAGTCTCTCTTTTTCACTACCCCCCCCCCCCGCCAGAAATTCAATGAACCCCACCCCCAACAAATATGGGAATGACTAAGGACATTATGAAGTCTTACATGGGATACATACTATCAAAATTCGCGATCATCATTTTGATGGCAGAAATAATCTTTGTCAATGACTAAATAGGTGCGAAAATGCCCCGGAAACCATACAATGAACAAGAAAAATTTAAGTTTTGAGCTAAAAATGGGCTGAATCTCAAACTAAGGCACAGAAAAGATCTAAAGATGATTTTATCCAGGAGATATGGTGACCCGTACAGGAGACCAGGAGATTGGTGTCGGATCCGAAAGAGTTGGCATGTGTGAAATAGATGATGATCAGATATTATGACATAACTTTTTTTGGTCACCGGTGGCAAAACCACATTTTTTTTCTTTTGAATAACTATGCTTCACTGCTGAATTGACAAAAAAAAAACAACAAATAAACAAATGGCTACAAAAGCTTTTTCGTTGATTTAAGAACAGGAGTCAGAAAAACTTATAAATGAATACAAGGTACCTAGTTTTGAGTCTGTAAATAAAGTTGCATTGTGTGACCATCAAACTGGAACATCTGAGCTCACCTATTACAATTTATGCATGGAGAGTAAATTTTGGTTTCGGTACAGGTAAGCGGCTATTTTAAGGTACTTACTTGGGTCGGATTTGGAAAAAACATCCATATCAGCGAGATTTCTTAAAGAGTCGAAAACACATACACAAACGATTAAAAGAAAGGCGATAATTAAGCTTAAGTCATTCAAACAGCTGGATATAATAACAGGCATGCAGTTAAGCATGTCACACTAAAAACAAAGTTTTCAGACATATAAGCAATATCAAATAAATTGATAACATGCAGTTTTCTCAGACTTCTCATTTTTTATAGTCAACGATGAAAACCCCCTCAAAAAAATTCTGCTTTGGCCATGAGAACTCGCGGACGATTTGATACATGCAAGAAACATACATTGAGGCAGATTGGGGTAAAAAAATTACAGACAGACTCTACAGTTAATCCGAATGTTTTTATACCCTTAAGGTTTCGTCAAGATGAATATGGAGAAAATATCTTCACAACAGATTGTGAAATGCATTTGCTCACTTAATGCAATGTGCATTCTAAAACAGCTGTCAAGAGTGCTACATGTAGTTCCTCGTTCTCGTTGCCCAAGACTGAGTTGACCTCACTGTTTAACAAACCGCTCTAATATTTCCAAGAATTGTTTTACCTGCAAGAAACATGCAGTTCAACTTGCGTCGCTGGAACAGAACTTCTAAATGAACTGGCCTCGTCAGGTGAAACCACATCGTGATAAGCTGGAGGAGCCGAAGCGGCCATTTTGATTGTTTGGACTGAGTTCAAGGCCAGGTTACAAGGTTACCAGTTCTTGTGACGGAAGTCATAAAGTAGTTTCACGCGAATTGAGGAAAATGGAAGAGAAAGCTGGCGGAATTGAGCATTTCCTTTTCCGTAATCGAACGTAAAACTTACGCCACTAAAAAAAAAATATTCTATTGATTCGGTACTTTCAATTTCAATCTTTTGAATGTCTTTCATTTTTGTTCAAGGGCTCTTGTTTGTTTGCGTTGTGTAGTTTTCCAACTTTGATATCCAAGAACTTTTCACGTGATTTCTTTTTCATTTTTTTTTCTCGCGAAAACCAACAGTTTATCACAAGCTTTACGAATCTCTTGAAAATCTCTTCTGGATCGGGGAAAACAGCACTTTTTTGAAACCTCCATTTTGGTTTGGGGAAGAGGTTATTTTTTCTCATTCTTTGAATCCAAACGAATCCACTACAATGTAACCCCATCGTTGTATCACCCAAAGAACAACTTTATGAGTAAGTGACATCTAATCCAGCCTTTACAGAGAGAAATATAAAAAAACCCAACGCTTATCTTCTAGATTCTCGTCAGGAGCAAAAAATCTTTGGTCACGTATCACACTCTACCGAGCTTGCACGTATGTCCGATTAGCTTGTCTACACTTTTAGTTCAACAGCGCCGATTGGATCGCCGATAATCTGCATGTGATCTCCAGCTGATATTTGCGAACAATGGGAAATGAACTTATCTTTCGGTTCAGAAGACGTTAGTGGGTGATCGACGCAACCGGATTAAGTTACGCCTCCCTCCGTGGTCCGTAACGGTGGTGGGGGGGTGGGGGGGGGGCGGGTGTTGGGCAGTTTGTAGAAACTTCAAGGCCAAAGTACAAGAGAACTTCTGACTCCTCCTGGTATTCTAATTACTGTATGTGGATATCTGACGGTGCGTGATAGCCTCTTATTTCATATTGCACATAGTCTAAAGCAGAAATCATATCCGTTTTTTAATTTGGATTACCGTTACTGATACTGCAGCAAAATAACGATTTATTTTTTCATGTCCAGTCTTTCCGGATCGAAGAGATTTCATAAAAATACCTAAATCCGGGGGAGACTCCGCATATGAAAGGGGTGGGGATGCTCGTCGGAAATTTTGAATCAAACCCCTAAAGGAGACCAATCTGCGCGTGGCCCAAGCTTTTTTTGTCCCCTAAAAGAGACCATGTTAAAAAACAGACATATGAAAAAACTTGGATTATATGAATGGAGTAAATAAAACGAATTAAAAATATACATATTAAAAATATATTTTTTTATATTTTTTCGCATGCAACCCTAAACGAGACCTTCACGGCGAAATATGATGGTGTTTTGCCCAGAACACCCCAAGTGAGACCAAAATCCGAAATTTACACCCCTAAGAGAGACGACGAGCATCCCCACCCTTTTCATATGCGGAGTCCCCTCCCCGGGACCTAAATATGTACGTTCCACTAGTTAGCATTCCTTTTATATTCTTTGTTTTGATGCCGCTTTTAACTAATTACTATTTATTGCGATTTTTTTTTATTTAACGATATTTCAAAGTGAGTAATCTCGGTAAGTTTTTGTTACTCTCAGAGCAAACCTCACCTGTCCCCCTCGTGCGCTCTTGCCACATTATATGCAAATTTTTCGAATAGTAGCGTCAAGAAATCCAATCAATACAAAAGTAGCTACTACATTTGGGATTCATATTTCAGAAATAGTTTGCTTGCGCTGTAAGCAGCTGATGTACAATTTGATCTTGAAATCGGTGTAGCTAATGTGGCAGAATTACCAAGAGAAAATTCAATGAAATATTTATTTACATATTTCCTTTCCGTAAAAACACTCCCAACAGATAAGAACACCTGCCGGAAGATCCTGTCCCCAAACTTGCTACTTACTGCCACTTGTTGAAAAAGGGAAGAAAAATAGCCAACAACTGTTTACAGCCGTAGTAATTCTTATTGCAATTTTTTTTTCTAAATCATATATAAAAAAACATTGTCAAACGCTTTTTAAAAAGAAGAGTAGAGATCAACCAAATGCAGCAACGCGACATGTTTTGATATTACATGTCAGTATCACACGCGATGCTTGACTTCCGCGACCCCGGAGTGCAATGTGAGAAGTGAAAAATCAGTTACTGTGCCCAGTAGGCTAAATGCTCCAATTGTCCTTTGACGGTTGAACAATTTGACTCACCAGCCCGCGTCGGTTTGAAATTGTCGACTTCACGGTTGGAGTCCGTTGCGGGTCTGCTCGGACTCGCCTAACCTCAGCCTTGTATTGCCCACTTCGTTGGCGATTAAGGACAATCGAAATGGGAATTTTGGCGATGTGAATGATGGAAAATGTGCGTTATTTATCAGGACATCTGTTTCTGGCGGAATTGTCTCCATGTCGCAAATGTCACGGAATTTATCGCCGCCGAGAGCGGAGCCGGTCAAGAGAGGTTTGCCAACCTTCTCTTCTCTTCTCTCTACTGTCATCTGGGTGAAAAACTGTCGCTCCAAAAAAGACCTTAAACAGTGCCTAGGAGGTCTGAAATGCAGTCAGAATACAAAGAAAAACAAGAAGACACTAAAGGTAAGCTTCAAAGCGGTATTCAATGTACATTTTGCTAATTTAGTGAGCAAAGAACATTTCTCCATACAACGTCTTATAATTTTCTTGCTGTATGAATAATTAGTTAGCTAAGTACGATAATGTTGTTCAGGGCTCTCATAGTGAGCTTGGGCTACCTGTGGTCACGGAAGCAACTAATAGTTGACCATCATCATTGCTTTTCTTAGAATTGAAGACTGGTTTCTCGGAAATAGTCAATGATCGAAGTAGTATAAAAATCGACAAAGAAATGTACTTTGATGTTGTTTATTAACGACAGAATGATAGCTGCATCTCAATGTTTGCACCAGACCACCTGATCTTGCTCAGTCGACACCGCAAGCATAAGAGCCCACTGTCTACAGAGGTGACATCTTTGATGTTGCGAAACTGCAATATCGGTGAGAATCTGTCATTACTTTAAGCTCGTTATGTTTCTCTTTTTATGTGGTTCAAATAGTTGTTCAGTAAAAGGAGGATCCCGTTGCCAGTTTTTTTTGGAGACCTCGTTAACGCAAATGGCAATCAACGATCCGAGATCCGTGTGTCCGAATCGATATGTATAAAGGTTCGAATGTACTCCTTGCCGGCGCTAAGCTCATTGTAGTCTATTTCAGCTGGTTTCAGCCATTTGATCGCTAAGACAAGGCGATAATTATGAGGTTTTCTTTATACGTAGATCGTCAATGGTTGAGACATGCGATACAAAACTACTCACTGTATCGATACCGAATGTTGCCTTATAATGTAAGACCTTGCAACCACATAGGTATTTCAGTTTAAAGAACAAAAGTAAAGCATTATTCAACATTAAACTGAAAATGAAACTTCAGAGACAACGTTTTAAAATTTCTGTTTTATTTGTCGCCTGGGTTACGTAGACAGACAGCTGTGACTACAATTCACTTCAAACTTAATCTGGGGCCAATAACGATTTAAAACTCATGGAAGTTAGGGAAGTAAATATACAATATCACTCGGCCGTGACAGATCGGAGAAGACATATTAATGAATTTAATCATTGAAAACAACTATTCCTTCAAAAATTACATGGATAACAGATAATGTGTCGAGGGGAATTATACCAGAAGATCGCGCAAACTTTTGTCGTTTCGAAGAGGAAATGAATAAAAACTGAAAGGGAAGAGGGGAATAAGGAGCTGCAAGATCTTCAAAATTATGTATATATCTTCATATAACGCAACTCTATCATCGCGTGAGTACCCCAAGCTCCTCCACGGGGCTTGGCTGTCTGCTCGAGAGGCGCACAAGACGGGGGCGAAAGACAAGTGGGTATGAGGGAGTCCATTTCCAACCTCGTACTCATGTTCCACTTCCACACCGACTTGGCCACGCAGTTTCCTAAAAGACCCTTAAATCTTTTTATGCAACTGTATTTATAAATGAGGTTACAGTAGTTTCGAAGAATTAACTGACTATATTTCAAATCTTTATTTCAAATCAAAATCTTAAACTTCTTCCAAGTATCATAAATAAAGACAATTCTACTTAGGGACCGGTCATTATTTATCACCTAGGCGGGGTAGGGGGGGGGAAGGAAGGGGAGAGGGGAGGATTTGGGGCTAAACAAGGTGCATTTTAGCTAATCCCCCCTTTGAATGCTACTTCACTGAAGTGATCCCCCCTAAGAACTTTTGATGACTTCGCGATCCCCCCTCCCATGTCTTCAGTTTCCAAGCAAATTTGAGTGGTCCCCCTCCGAATCCTTCCAAAATTTTCATCGATCGCCCCTTTCGGGTTCTCAGTTACGACGGATCCCCACTTTTTTTCTCCCAAAAATCAAGTGATCCCCCCTAAAATCCTTCGCCCCACCCCCCAGGAGATAAGTAATGACCGGTCCCTTATCCGAGGCATGCGCGATTCAGTCCTTGTGCCTGGCCGGGTTAATCATTCTTACTTTTTCCCTGCAGTCTTTCGAGCCTTTTGAGAATTTTTCAAGAAGCTCATCAATAATGGCTTCCTACAGAAGTGGCCAGCTCTCACTTTATTGCAACAAATGCAACACACTTCTGGCCACGTCTGACATTTTAATGTTGGCCAGCATACCACCGACACAGACGCACATAGCTGTAAGAAACGAACACGAGGAGACAGCCTATGAGAAGGTGCGAAAAATCCCCAATCCGGATCCCAAGAGAGCTGGTTTTAGTCCGTACAGAACACTCTGCAAACAATGCGGTGATGTTATCGGAACAGTCAGCATTATTGAAGAAGCAACACTGATTTGTTTCAAGACAGAAAAGATTCACTTCAGGCGAGGATACGAACAAATTAAAGGGAAGAAGTTAAAGCAGATTAAGGATAAAATTATACAGTATGGCCTTGAAGTCGTTAATGTGTCGCAGCTAAGTGGAACGATTTCACGGGCAGTCACGCATACACGGACACCAGCACAACCTCTTGTCTATTGTGACGTCAACCTCAGTACAGAAGAAATTTTATCCTTGACAAAAGATGCACCCAGAGGATACCAACGAGAGCTCTTCTTACAGGCCATACGCAGGAATACTCTGGTCTACTTGCCCACGGGCTCAGGAAAGACGCTGATAGCGGCAATGGTTTTGAGCTGTATGAAGAAGCTTAACCCGGACAAATTGATGGTGTTCCTCGTTGACAGAATCCCCCTGGTTTACCAGCAGAGTGAATATATCAAGTCACAGGTACCAGATGTAAGGGTGGAGATACTGGCCGGGGATATCGGACGTTTCCCAGGGGATAAATCACGTTGGATAGCAACCATTCAAGCGCTTACAGAAAACAAGATCGATCTTCTGGTGATGACGAGTCAAATTCTCATAAATCTGATGGCTGATGAGTGTCCTGTATTGCGCATGTCCGACATATCCGTGCTGGTTTTCGACGAGGCACACCATTGTTTGGGAAACCACAGCTACAATCAAATTATGAGAGATTACTACAAAACCACGAGCAACAGGTTTAAGCCGCTGGTGCTAGCGCTGACTGCATCTCCCGCCGGAGCAGACAAGCTGGAAACCACACAGACGAAAATCGAAGAACTGCTTTCAAATCTGTGTGCATGCGCGCGCATGCCTTTGTGGTCAGGTGATCTGGAGTTGTACTGGAATCGACCAGAAACATCATATCATGTTGTTCCTTTGAATGGAAAGCAACAATTTCTTCAATCCTCAGTGGTATCGTATGTTGAATCCCTGACGAAGATGATCGAAGACAAAGCAGGGAGTCCTCACGCGCTTGATAGATTATCCATTTTAACCCCATCTTATCGTGGCGCTTTGCGTAAGCTGATGGAACGTTGCCGTGGTGACCAGAGCCGAGTAAGAGGACTAGCACTAGGGGAACATGCCATGCACATGCTGAGTGTGATAGAGATCAACAATATTCTGGGCAACGAGTATGCGGTTGATTGCATCGAAGATTGCATCAGGCAGATGCAGACTGCCACTTCGCCAATGGAGAAACTGAAGAAAAAACTCATTGGTTCCTTGAATCAGTTGAAGACTCTGCAATTATCGATCAAAGACCTTAAGCGCATTTCAAATCTGTTCACATCTAGTGACAGGTATCAATATCTTATCAAAGAACTTCAGAACTTCATTCGCAAAGTTAAAGAAGACGAAACGTCCAGGGCAATTATCTTCGTCAAGATGCGAAAGACTGCATACAAACTTGGTGAGCGGATCAGGCAAGAAGCTAGAATTCTAGCTCATCTTAACCCAGCTTTCCTTGTAGGTCATGGACAGGCGAGTGATGGAATGGACTGGAGAGGAGAGCAGGAAGAGGTTTTAAAGAAGTTCCGCTCAGGCGAGGTTAAAGTCCTGGTCAGTACAAGCGTGCTGGAGGAAGGTCTGGATGTGCCCGTATGCAACCTTGTTGTCCGCTTTGACAGCGCCCTCACTTTGCGGGCGCTAGTCCAGAGTCGCGGACGCGCTTCTCGTCGGCCAGATAGCAAGTTTGTCGTAATCTGTAGTGATGCAAAGGAACAAACTGATGCGTTTGATGCAATTACGAAGGAGAAGAACATGGAGGAAGCAATGAGGATACAGCAACTGTGGAATTCCTCAAGTAGTCCCTTGCAAGGCGAGTCCTTTGGTTGCCACTTGAAGAAACCCGACTTCAGCCCTCCTGCTGAACCGGTGGAAGCTCCGTACCAGGATCAGCAGCTGGAGCAGGAGCCCACTGCTGAAGATGAAGAAACGGGAATTGAGTACAGTATTAGTCTAATGACAATCCACGAAAGGGGGGAAAGCTTGGCTTCGGGAGGACCCAGAAAAAGAAAGAAAAAGTACATTCCCAATGTGACGGTTTCCATACACAATGTCATCCTTGGAAGAGAGAGCAAGGAAATTGGATTTCTCACAGAGTTCTTTGAAGCGCACTTCGAAGTAAAATCACTAAAAAGCGAACGTATTGAGGCAGCAGTGGCAGTGGCGAAGGACGAAGCGTGTGATAGAAGCCTTACATCGGGCTTTCTTCGACTGAATCTAGNATGCGTTTGATGCAATTAAGAAGGAGAAGAACATGGAGCAAGCCATGAGGATACAGCAACTGTGGAATTCCTCTAGTAGCCCCTTGCAAGGCGAGTCCTTTGGTTGCCACTTGAAGAAACCCGACTTCAGCCCTCCTGCTGAACCGGTGGAAGCTCCGTACCAGGATCAGCCGCTGGAGCAGGAGCCCACTGCTGAAGATGAAGACATGGGAATTGAGTACAGAAATAGTCCAATGACAATCCATGAAAGGGGGGAAAGCTTGGCTTCGGGAGGACCCAGAAAGAGAAAGAAAAAGTACATTCCCAATGTGACGGTTTCCATACACAATGTAATTGTTGGAAGAGAGAGCAAGGAAATTGGATTTCTCACAGAGTTCTTTGAAGCGCACTTCGAAGTAAAATCACTAAAAAGCGAACGTATTGAGGCAGCAGTGGCAGTGGCGAAGGACGAAGCGTGTGATAGAAGCCTTACATCGGGCGTTCTTCGACTGAATCTAGAGCCGCTTGAAAATCAAGATTTTCGCTCCAAGGAGAAATTTTTTACTCATATTGCCGAGTCTTGGTGTTCTCGTTCTAAAAAACTGCGAAACCAAACAGAGAAACTTTGGCTTCGCCGTGCTGATGCCGTTAGGAATCACAAACGTAAACCAGTGCTGGTGATTAAACCAGATACCATGGTTCTGGGATATTTTATTAATCAAGCCAGTTTCTGTGTCCATTGGCCTTTTAATCCCAGGTTTGAAAACATTCGCGTTGCTTTTGAACATGACTTGCGAACGATGCTGGTTTGTTTCACGGTTCCCAATCGTTTAACCCAGTGGAAGGTAGATTTGTACAAACTTCAGATTCGTTACAGCGAACTGCACGAATTCGTGTTGGTGGATAAAGCGAAATCTTCCTCATTCCACCAAATCTATGTAAAACTGAGACACCCTCCCCGCATGTTCAAGGCAAAAAGCTTCATTAAAAAAGACCAAGTTGACGATGGAGAAGAAAACGACTTTGAAGAATGGTACTTTGAGGATGAGGACTACGATTTTGACGACGACCCCGATCGTCACCTTAGCGACGAATCAGCTAGCAGCTCCGAAGATGAACGAGGTAACATCGGAATTGAAGCTTCGCAAGAAGACGAGAAACCCGATAATGCAGCTCTACTTACGAGTTCGGATATCGCAAGTATCGATGAAGTGGTGAACTGGGAGCGGGTTACCGAAATAGAAGATAGCGGTGATGCATTTGGCCTATGCTGTACTTACAACTTCACTTTTAAAGCCAGCGAATGGAACGAGGTCAAAGAAGTTCTAAGAACAATCGGGAGATACGACAAGAAGATCTTCTTTGCCTCAATGCAAAAGTCAACAAGACGATTGCCAGTTGTGAATTTTCCCGAAGAGCTGCCTTTCAGCGTCAAATACACTGCACAATGCCTCCTACATTCTTTTCCGTTTATCAGAGGGAGATTGACCCATGACTTTAACAACATATTAGGTAGCAAGCCTGAAAAAATTGTTTTGGTCGCCTTAGGAAAACTCGCTGCTGCCCTGCAACGGAATAGTTTTTGTGACCCAGAAGCAATGTTTAAAAGGCTCCTTGATGAGAAGGATTTTAAAGCCGGTGGAATGTTAAAGCAACTCATTCCTTCCCAGTGCGCGTTGATTAAGCGCATGGTCATTACCCCCACGCGCCTGCTGCTCTACACGCCAGAAGTGATGTCCAAGAATCGCGTGCTGAGAAATTACAACACTGATCAGTTTCTGTGTGTCAATATCCGCGATGAAGACTTCTCGAGGCTTTCATCAGCTGGAGGAAGCATTGAGAAGATTTTGGAACGCGTTAAACAGACTTTGGATAGCGGGGTAATAGCAGGCGGGGACTGGTTTTATTATCTTGGTTCCTCCAATAGCCAACTGAGAAACCACGGCTGTTGGTTCGTTCGACCCAGTCCACACCCAGAGGAGATTCGACAATGGATGGGCGACTTCAGCAAAATAAGGTAAATAAAAATAATGTAAAACAGTCTTGAATGTTTTATAACTCGAATTTGTTCTTCAGAGCTTTTTTGGTTACTTTAGTGGTTCACGCTTTCGTGTGTTTGATCAAGTGTTTTCTCCAACAGATGCGTAGCAATTTTCATGGCTCGTATGGGGCAGTGTTTCTCAACATCCATGGACGCTGTGGGCATAGATGTCAACGAAGGAACCTCCTGGGGTATGGACGAGGATATTGAAACACTTGATGGTGGTTACTGCTTCTCAGATGGCGTGGGAAGGATCTCTGACTCACTTGCACAGAAGGTAGGAAAGACGCCGTTAAGATGAATCAACAGTTTACTCTCTTGGCCCACACAACCATTTTTTTCTCAAGTAGTTCGTACTAACTGAATTTTTATTGCATTTGTACAGCGAGTTTAACGCCTAAAAAACTCACTTGACAGAACAGACAGCAAACAAAATTACCAGGTATCATCTTTACAGATACACGCTATTTTAACCTTCCGAATCACTCTAGCCAAACCATGACAATCTGCGGTCTTTCCCTTCACCAAGGCGACACAGCGCTAGGCAAAAAACTTAATTCGGAAAACTAAATCCTCAATGGGCGCTTTTCACTCAACTAACTATCTAATAATCAATATTTCTAGTGTAACCATGCTCCCACCAAAAGCATCGCTTCACCAGTCGAAGTCTAAACGAAACACATCCCATGATTTGTTGGGGTGCTTTGACAAAGGAATTGCGCTCTTCGATCTTTTCACGCTGATGAATCTGCTTAATCAATTTATTTGATAAAACCAAAGTTTCTGTTTTATATCACAGGTTGCCAGAAAGATTTCTAAAAATTACGTGCCATCTGCGATTCAAATTCGATTTGCTGGCTGTAAAGGGGTGTTGACGCTTGATCCTACACTTCCAGGGAAGAAAGCAGTTTTTCGACCGAGCATGCGCAAATTCGAGAGTCCGCACCGCCGTCTAGAGGTTCTACAGACGTCACGCCCTCAGGTTGTCTTTCTAAACCATCAGCTAATAATGCTCTTGTCCAACCTTGGTGTCCCGGATGAAGTGTTTCTCAATTTGCAGCGCGCAATGTTGGACAGACTTGCGGGTAAGGGAGTACCTCCAGGCCCAGAAGTTAGACGTAACCTTTTACCTCTCTAGGCCGACGCTTTTTCGCGCGTTTTGATGATGTATTTAGCATTTAGCGAATCCTTTTGATCGGCTTTTCTGGTATCTACCCTTACAAGCGCCTAAAACGAATGAAAATGTAAAACTGATGGACAATGCAGAAAAACCAGGGGTACTTACCAATTACTCGCAAAAACCGGAAATTCCGGTTTATTAATTTAAAGGCTCGTGCCTTTCGTTTGGGAAGCTACAGAAAGTATGAACCGTCATTTGAGGTAATGCAGGCTTCCCCCCACCACGTCAAATTTTATAGTTTTATGTTTGTGCTCAAGTTTTTCATCCGCGTGATTTGTGTAAATGGTAAGCACCCCAACATTCCATGACACCGGTGAGCAAAGCGTGGAAATATTCAGCTCTTTCCCGCTTGTCGTATGACAGAAAAAGCTAATAAAAAGCATGACTGCCCTACCTTCTTTCAAGTTTTGTGTAGCACCTAAGTTTCTTTCTGCATGGTAACGAGGAGCAAAATCAAATTGTTGATACAACCAGTGACTTTTTTTCTGTGTAAAGGAATGCTAGTTAACGAGCGTCTAGCTGTTCAACAAATGATATCTGGGGCCAAGACAGGAATTGGCTATATGCGCTTGTCAGAAGCGGGAATGCAGCTGACCACTGAGCCCTTTTTCAAGTCGCTGTTGGTGGCACTTTATAAGGACCGGATGCAGAATCTACTGAGTCGAGCCCGCATTCTTTTACCACCAGCGGAAGCTCGACTTATGATTGGTGTCATGGATGAAACAGGGATTCTGCAACCAGGCGAGGTAAGGTTGGAAATTTATAAAACGAAAAATTTATTACTCGATAATGGAAGTAAGGCAAAAAGTTTTTCTCTTTAGCAGTTCTGATTAGAACTCGGCTGATCAATGAATCAATCCTATTTCTAAGGACTCTTTTCAGTATTTTACTCAAGATATTCTGCCCGGCATATGTTGCGTGGTTTCACTGTAGCAAGATGATCTGCGCAAAACGCCCAGTTGTGCTTTTAGAGAGTGTTTGACAGTCTCTCCTAAATACTGTATTGTAGTGCCATAATTCTCTCAAAGAATCCTAGGCCAAGTTTATCTTTACATGAATAAGCACCAGGTCCTGACACTAGTATTTCTGGAATCAGTTAGATAATAACCAGCGCTAATTAGAAATAATCGGACAGATAAAAATTTTCAACAGTCTCCTGCACAGCTTTTTACACAGTACACAACCAAGAGGGAGAGAGAGAGTCCAAAACAAAAGTTCAAGACGACTCCCAAATTTTACGTGCATTACACCACTTGGAAATATAACCAAAAAGGTTTCATTTGAATTGTCACACTACTGGACTTCATCCACAGCATAAAAAGTTTAATAGAAGCACCTTCCGCAGCATTAAAAAAACAGTACCACAGGAAAGTACACCTCAGTAGATTTCTTCTGAAACTTTGGGATTCCATCCAGAGAATCAAAAGTTAGAACCACCTCGTACAGCATAATAGACAATACCCCAGGAAAGTACTACTCAGTAGCTTTTATCTGAATGGTCGCACTTTAGGATTCCATCCACAAGCTTAAAAGCTAGTCAGAACCCAGTGAGAGCCACAATACCACGGGAAAGTACTGCTCAGTAACTTTTATTCAGAATGGCTACACATTGGAGTACTTTAGTATTTAATCCACAGACTGAAAAGTTAGAACCATCTTATACAGCATAGTAAACAATACAACAGGAAAGTACTGCTCAGAAGCTTTCATTTGAATGGTCACGCTTTAGAATTTCGAACTTAAACGCAACAGTAAGAACTGCGATACCTATCGCCATAACAAAATTAATTGAAAATGTGAAATTCAACGGGAATTATAGAACTGATTTTTACTATTGAAGATGATTACTCTTCTTAACAAATGAATTGCTTTTGTATATTTTGAAGGTATTTGTGCAGTATTCCGCAATGTCCTCGGATCCTGATCATGAAGGAGAATTCAGCAGAACAGCTCAACAGACTCTCACAGGACCTGTGGTAGTGACCAGAAATCCATGCCTTCATCCAGGAGATGTGAGACTGCTGACCGCAGTATCTGCACCTCAGCTGGCTCATTTGGTGGACTGTGTCGTATTTCCAAATCATGGACCCCGTCCCCACCCTAGTGAGATGGCAGGTATAACTTACACTCATAGTGATGGCGACAACTTTAGAAGCAATTATTGTTTTTTATTTTATTTTTTATTTATGTACTTGTATCATCAGCGTTATTCCTAACGTATTTGAAGAAAAAAGGCAAAGGCAACCGAAAAAATGAGAAATTACAAAACTTGTGCTTAATATTTTCAGACTTTCCCAAATAAAAGCTTAGATAGAACATCCCGATTTCATTATGGTCACACTGTTAACAAGAAGCGTCTCAATCAGCCCGAATACTTCATTTTAATCATTGTAGTTATAATGATAATGCTGAAGAAATCGAACCCTACTAAAATTAGAAATGTTTCTTCTTAAGGCGGTGATCTTGACGGTGATTTGTACTTTGTTTGTTGGATGAAAGACCTTCTGCCGCGAAGAAAACTTTTCCCGCCAATGAACTACAAATCGCCTCCAAAACGGCAACATTTTGGACCAATCACAACCCGTGAAATGACTGAGTTTGTCGCTGAGTACATCCGGTTTGATCAGCTTGGCGAGATTGACAACGCTCACAAAGCCCAAGCGGATTCCATTGAGAGAGGGGTGGAAGCGCCACTTTGCCTTAAGTTGGCAGAGCTTCACTCGCTAGCAGTTGATGCGCCGAAGACCGGGGAGTGGCCCAAGATGCCTAAAGAAGCCAAGGTGTCCGTTTTTCCAGACTTTATGATGAAGTCCGACAAGCCAAGCTATCCTTCAGAGAAGGTTTTAGGCAAGTTGTTTCGTGAGTGCAGAGCGTTTAAGGATAGCATCGCGCGTGATGTCCCTCTTAATAAACCTCACATTGTGCCAGACTTGTTGGTACCAAACTTTCAAAAGTATCAAGAGGAGGCAAAGAGCATTTACGAGGAGTATTCTAACCAGGTATTACGATTTATTTCCAACAGTCACATTTTAGTAGTAAGTCAATCTCCATCATTGCAACCCTTTCAGAATAAGGGACTATTTTTTGTTTTGCGAGAACACAAAAAAGTTCTAAACAAAATGCGCATGCGTAGAGAGTTGATAGAGTGTGCCTCTTCCCTATTCTCGTCCCCAGAGCCCGTCGTTTCTTGGTCACGTGGTCCGTTACGAATTAAGCCGACTGGCTCAGGGGACGAGAATGGCCTCTTCCCAGGGTAGTTTCGTTTATCCTCGCTACGTCACGTCGAAAAAAGTGACGCTGGATTTCGAGAGAGAGCCAGGCTTTAATGGCCAGTTTACAGATATTTAAAGTTTTGAAATAACGATATAGCAACCAATTTGGCCAAAGTCAGGGTTCGAATCCCGGGAAGCCTGAAAATTTTCAGGCCTTCTTTTCGCAAATGTATAAGTTGTGTAATTTAACTATTACTTCGATGATATTCTCTGCACTTAAGAATAGTTTTTGTTGAAAAAAAAAATGCTTTTTGTGTATCTCAACGTTGGAAAGTACCTTTTTGAAGTACCTTTTTGAAAGTACCTGTGAAGTACCTTTTTGAAGGCTTAAAAGTTTTCACCGTTATTCGGTACATTGTAACTCTTCTATATAAGGGCTTACTACAGTTTTCAGATGAAAACTATCGACTTTTTCAAACTGGAACATTAGGGCCATTTATACGAGGAAAAATAAGACGCGTCTTACATAAGACGCGTCTTAAATAAGACGCGAACTTTCCGTATAAATGGCACATTTCGTCTAAAATAAGACGCGGCTTATAGCTAAGACGCGTCTTATTAGATAAGACATGCTCGTATAAATGGTACAGTTCGCGTCTTATTTAAGACGCGTCTTATGTAAGCCGCGTCTTATTTTTCCTCGTATAAATGGCCCTAATTCTAGCAACTGAAAGCGGGTCTTTACCCCTTTTTGGGTGCTCGCACTATATTTCGCGTTATACTTCGCAATAAAATGTTTTAGAAGGAAAAAATTAAGGATAATTTACATCAATTGTAGTGATTAACAGTTCAGAAGAGGCCTTTAGTTGCTAAAAATGTTCCAGTTTAAAAAGGTCGACAGTTTTCATCCGAAAAGTGTAGTAAGCCACCTTAAGTCGTTGAAAATGTTTCATATGTTTTTCGTTAGTTATTAAAGAGGTCATGCGGTTTTTGTTTTACCCAGCTCCACGCATTGATGAACTTGTATGGCATTGAAAGCGAGGGTGAACTTCTCTCAGGCTGTTTTTCGAAACTGCATTCTCGCCTTGGAAGAGAAAAAGTGGAGATCGCCGACATCGTAAGCAGAATTCTTGCGAAAATACGCGAAAACTTCCGAAAAAAGTTCTTCGAAGAGTTCGATCTGGCCGGAGATGACCGAGGGTCCAGCGAAGCTATTTCCGAAGAATTGCAACAGAAGGCATCGGCGTGGTATTACGTCGCATACAGTCACTTGCGATTCGGCAAGGAATCAGAGAATTCCTCAGAGGACCCCATTCCGCAGTTTCTCAGCTTCCCGTGGCTTGTGGATGACGTCATGCTTTCAATTCGACTTAGTAAGGCTTGTGATGAACAAGACTCACAAAGCGTGGTCACTTCAATCAGCGACAGTGTCATCAAACTGTTTGACTATGAACGAGATCCACTGGTACAAGGTTTTCACGACAGGATACAGAAAAAGAGTGTCATATCACGTTCACTTCCGGGTGTTGCTTTGGCCATGTTTGGTTCCTCAGCGACATTTCTCTTCCGGCAAGACTCTGACCTTGACCTTTGCGTCATTTATCCCACGCACATCGCTCTTCGACAAAAGCTTGGACGAGACGATCAGATCACCGTGCTCAAAACCTTACTCCCGGTCTTCAGTAATCTGTTTAAGCATGCGCGGCTTGTGGATCATGCCCGGGTGCCGGTGAGTGTTCATTCTTATACCTAGCGTTGCGATCCTTTTCGCCAGCGCCACAAGTCGCTTTATAGCGCTAGCCGCTAGTCAAAAGGATGGCGGTGCCCCCCAATTATTTGACTGTCACATAAAAATTTACTCTAAAGACTGCATTTGGCGGCCTAGTTTCAAGCATTGGTTGATTTATGCTCTTTTTCTCATTGATTTGTTGGAGTTCTGCAGTGAAATTGTGATAGCTATAACGAAGTAGAAAAAGGAAGCTACAGTCGGTGGATACCCCTTTCCAGGTGACTTGCCTATGCGCAAGCGCATAGTACTGGTCATTCCACGAATGGTGTCTGAGTACCTCCCTCTATCTTTTGTTTTAACTTTGCATAATTCTTTTTAATTCTTAATATGTTCATATCCATATTTAATTCCAGGTGATTGCCTGTGACAATCCTGCAAAGCGATCTGGCTCACTGGCAAGCGTTAAAGGGGATGTTACAGCGTCATATGATGGCCTTCTGAAAGCCATTGTCTTATCAAGCTACATCAAATCATACCCAGCTCTTCTACCTGTTCTCCGTCTTCTTATGAACTGGGGTCAAGTGACAGGTCTCTTGGGGCACGGGGTAGACGCGGGAATCAAGTCGAACTTGTTAACGTTCCTATTTCTGATATTCTGCGTTTCCAAAGGACTGGTGAATGATTTCAGTTGGGAACATGTTTGGAACCGGTGTTTTCAAATTGCGACTGGCAGAATCAATGACGCAGTGCTCAAACAAGAATGGGACAGGGTTATGAGCTCTTTTCAATCAACAGAAACCTCGGATGCTAAGAAAAGTGGTCAACTGATTCTGGGCGATCAGCAAATAGGCGAGATTCTACTGACATTTTTCCAAGCCTACAACACAACCCTCGACTTGGCAATCCCACAAACCTTCGCTTCCTTACTGGGCGTGCGCAAACTTGAAGAACTTCTTGACTCAGAGCATCTGCGGCTCCTTAAGGAACACATGCAGCGCGCATTTCATCTTCTGGCGCTTTATGGCGATGCTGAAGTGCTCCTCACCATAAGCGCCTCCGAAATCGATCGCGTCATATTTCTATCTCAGGCACTGTCTTACACCATGGCCGGTTCAGAAAGGCATAACGCTTTTGAACTCTCGAAAAAGACTGGTGCGAGGGTAACCATTCGTCCCAGTCTCCCGGGATCGGGATTTGGCCTTGTTTTACAAGCTATTGGTACCGAGTCCGCTGTGGCGTCGGTGGAACGGGCGCTAAATGCCATGGCGACGCAGGCACTGCGCAACAAGGCAGCGGTTATGTCAGTGTGTTTTGTGAAGGAAGCTAAACACATGATTTTTGAAGGTAACATGTCTCCTTCATTAAAGGGCGGTGGAGAAGTGTCCTGACAATTTTGTTTGGCCAGAATCATTTCCTGTCCAAATATCCCTATAACATCCCTTATTGTGAACATACAAAATTTTCCTTTGGGTGGGGGGGGATAATGAAAGACTAAATAGCATCAAGCGTTCATCTTTCGACCTCATTAAAGAAGCAGATTAGTGCTTTAGCAACCGGAAGTGACATCATACATCAGTCAAGCATGAGTATACACTGATAAGAGCTTACTCTCTCTCCCGCTCTCATTTCTCCATATTTTTCTCCTTCGTCAAATTTTCGTTTCTACATTCTAAAAACAAGTTGTGTCGAGTAGTACCAAAGTCAGCCCAATAAATTATGATAGTTTTTTGTTTAGAGAGCTTCATATATATGTGAAGCATTGTGCACCCTCTATCCCAGGGCCCCCGTCTCTTTTCTCCGGGTTGAAGTGGAGAAAAGAGACCCTGGGAACGAGGTTGGCAATCGTGTTGGTCTATTTTAAGGTTGCCTAAGCGATGACGACGGTGTCACCTTGGTACCGTACTATGGAAATCATCACCCCACTCATGATAGTCTGGCTTTGTACGTACCCATGTTAGCAAGCCCGAGGTCTGGACTGCGCAGAATCGGAGCGGCTTACACGCGACATGAGTTCCTGAGCTTCGCAGAGAGATTTCATACTCAAGTGCAGGTACTACGATTATCGGATCAATAAGAGATAAAGTACTCACCAATCCCCTCTCCTAACTTTTCATTTCGGGCGAAATGTTAGCGCATTGCGCAGGCGTCATGCATTTGCTTGTCTCACAAGCGCCCTGATTGAGCACAGAAATTACGTTGGTTTAAAAACAAAATTGCTCCAAGGCGAAATGAAATATAAAAAACTTTTAGATAAAAAGTACTTTGTTTTCTCAGAACCTGTAGAATGTCACAAAAAGAAAATAGAGCTTGCTCTTGAATTTGAAGGGATAAACGTATTATTTAAGCTGTCAATAATCTCGTTTTTTTGTTTTAAATCATTTCTTTTTACTAATAGGTAATCGAGAGGGATTTTGTGCCTACAATTCATGGTGAAATGGAATTTGCCATTCATTTTGGGCGTCTATACGTGTTGAACGTTCCAAAGTCCTTTACAGAGGACACCGAAGCGCCGAGCGTGCGTATGTTTCAGACAAATCTCACGCGAGGCTACAAACCAAGGCCAAGCGTCTTGTCCGCCCCTCGAAACGTTAGAAAATATGGCAGATCGCGCGTCATCTGTACTGGGGGAAAATTAAAAACTCGATTACACAGGATGCGAAAGGGAATCGAAGTAACGAAGGAAGGAAAGAAAATTCCTAAAGAAAAAGCATCCCGAAGTTCCTTCTTTACTGTCGTTTCGTCGCGAGAGAAAGTTGACAGTTTCTTGTCCCAGCGTGGCTTTTCAGTTCACGCGGAATCTGCAGAGAAGTACTCGGTTGAGATTCACACCGATCACGAGTTTTTAGTGATAACGGACAAAGATTTTAACTTTCTCGAGATTAGGTTGCCAAAGTTACGATGGTGTGCGGTGGATGTTAAGAGGGCATGGAAGGAAAACCCTGAGGAACATGACATGACCGATTTGGACGGAGTTGAGACTGACGTGCGCTTTGTTTTGCAGGTACTGAATAAATGAACAGTAGTTTCCTTTTATTGTTGTTGTCACTTAACCATTTGTTTAAAATGGGTACCACAAATTACTGTAAAGTATTCTTCCCAGTAACTGTCTAAGAAAACATGTCAGTTAGACTGTGACAGCTGGTCTACGTCCCCTACTATTTTTTAACAATATCATGGGTTTCTTTCACGTACCCTTCTAATTGATACTCATGAAAGGATGGAGGCATGGTCAATTTAACGTCACCACCCAAAATCTTAAAGACGCAATCGTTTGAACTGCTGAACTGAAGCAAGGCCCGAATCACAACCACACAAATGGAGCAGTCAGCATAACAATGTTACCGGATTATTTAGAGACCTTGGTTACTAGTACGGTTGGGGTCTGAACTCGCGGTCTTTCGCTCAGCAGACCGACACTCTCCCAACCGAGAAAACCGGGAGGCGGTTCAGTAGTTTTTATTTGAATTGTCACGCTTTAGCATTTTGTCCACAGACGCAAAAGTTAGAACCACCTTGTAGAGCATAAAAACAGTGCCACAGAAAAGAACTGCTCAGTAGCTTTCATTTGAATGGTCACACTTTAGGATTTCAACCACAGATTTAAAAGTTTGAACCACCTTGTATGCTCAACAGCTTTCATTTGAATCAGGGTCACACTACAGGATTTCATCCACAGACTCAAAGTTAGAACTATCTTGTGCAACATAATAAACTGTACTACAACAAAGTACTGCTCGGTAGCTTCATTTTTTAAGGATGTCATTCACACACTCAAAAATAGAACCGCCATGTACAACATAATAAACAGTACCACAAGAGAGTACTTTCATTTGACTGATCACACTTTAGGATTCCATCGACAGACTCAAAAGTAATAACCTGTTAGAACCTTATAAACAGCACCGCAGAAATTCATTTACGAGGTAACACCTTTGCATGTCATCCACAGATTGACCATAAAGTTAAAACCAACTTAATAAGCGCGTAGACTCCAAAGTTCGACATAAAGCCCTTGAACCTTCTTCTCCCCTTCTGATGATCTTTTTCATGATAGACCGTTTTACTTTTGCTGCAGACCCGTCGTTCGTTGCGCCCAGATGACATCCGGGGATCTAATTACGAGCAGTACCGGGATGCATTGCAGCCTCAGCCTCATCCGCAATCTACCCGGAGTCCATTCGTAGTGAAACCGGAAATTTGGAAGGAAGTAGCTATGATTCGCCACAAGAAATCCCGAATATATCGGGTCAAAGATTCCACATCCACTGTAAGCGAGTTTAGAAAATCACTCAGTGTCAGTGTGAACGAGGTTACCGAGTATTCTCGTCCCACTAAGCACGCTTCTGCCTTTAGCAAAGTGTTCACACGGTGTGAAGTTGCCGTCAAAGCCGGTTTACCTACTACTTGGAGCAACAGGGAGTCACTGGAACAGTTGTTGAGGGACATTTGGGCGTTCGGGTTTGCTTTCGCCTCTTACATGTCCGATTAGAGGTCTACAAAGATGTACTGATGTCTGATATAGAACTCTATAAAAGTAAAATTTAAGACTATATGACGGAAGTCCCCGGGAGAAGCGAGCCTCTTTCCATTGTCTCTTGCAAAGCAAGGGGGAGACGAGTATTCAGGGGCACCCAAAGAGAATATAGTTCAAAACCACTTAAACATAGCATTTTTAAACGTATTTTAGTATTTAAACGGTAGATATAGGCTTATTTTTATCCCCTAAAAATTTTTCATCTGTTCGGATTTCCTAGCTGAAAGTCTAGTGATCCGGAAAATATAGGGATCAAAACTTACCTTTTCGAAAATTTCAGCCAGAAAAAAGGCTCCCGAAAATTCTAGGTGACCTTTTTAGGGTAAAAATCCGTTAAAAATGGACAATTAGGAGAGGCAGGCAAGCAAGAAATTTTACAACAAATGTTACGAAAATTCTAGGTCTCAAATCGTCTTCCGAACAGATATTTTCCGAAAATTGACGTTGGGTGCCCCTGGAGTTTTAGGAGCATTATTCAATTATTTACGCTAGTAGCAATCAAAGATTGATAAAGAGTGGTCCAGATTTGAATTCGTGTATTATACAGTCGAATCTCCACTAACGGCCACCTCTCCACTATGGCCACACTTTTTTGACGGACAGTCCATACATTGACACTTGTTTAAACCTGACGGCTCTACAACGGCCACTTTCTTCTTTCCCCAAAATGGCCGTTGTGGAGAGGTTCAACTGTATCACATGGTTTTAACCAAGAGACTATAAAGGGGACAGAGAGGGCATCCCCCATATACACCCTATTCCATAGGTAATTCGTCTCGAGTTATTTTTAACACCACAGATCTCAAGGGGGATTAGACAACAGCCAATCACATAGCGCGAATGTGTTCCGCGTGGATGACCCACGCTGAGAGCCACGCGTCCTTCACGAAATGACGCAGAACAAAATGGGGGAAGACGCGGAGAGCGA